GCCTTAGTCGAGGCCATGGTGCGGAGTGAGAGGAACTGGGACGCTGTCTCCTCCTTCTGTGAAGCAGTTATGCTCGAAAAGAGGAAGGCCCCCCGCGTGAGGGAGCAATCCCCCTCCTCACGCCCCAGCCGCCGAAATAGGTGACATTCCGGGCGTCGGGGATCGAGAGATGATCTCCGGCTACCGTAAGCGCGGGTCTGCGGTCGGCGAGTAAGGGCAGTTCGCCGCCCGACCAGAACCAGGCCCGAGCGTACGGCGCGTAGCGTTCCGCGCGCGCCTCAAAGAGCCAATAGACCACCACAGACGGGGCCCTGTAGGGCTGGTGTTCAGCCGGGGTTGCGGGGTAAGCGCAATGAGGCACCGCGACCTCGGCCCAGAGCAGGAGAAGGAACAGGGGGGTTTTTAGTCAGTAAGAGTCTGATACTCCCTCTCGCCCGACCCTGGGCGGGAGAAATCAATTGATAATTTTCCCCTCACTAAAAAAAGGTCTGAAGACCTGCTATGGAATAATGGTAGATATGACTCCTTTGAATCACTTTGGGGCTGCTATTAAGGCCGCACGAATAGCCAAGACCAAAGAAGTTCTACTGATTGGTAGTGATTGGTGACACAAATCAACTTTCCTTCATTGACCGCGGCGATTTCTTACGTTTACATGGTATTTTGGAAAGCCCAACTGTAATTTCTAATATTTTTTATAATATAAAATACATTTTTTTATAAACTAATAAACTCAAGCGATAAAAATATAATACGAGTAAACCATCATTTTATATAAATACCCGATATTTATTTATTTATTTATTTATGCTTTATTGTACACAATTAGATGAAGTTGGTACAAAAGGCGGACTTAATGCCATATGGCATTCTCTACCAGTCAACCTTTGGGTCAAATGGAAAATCTGCGAATAATAGGTACGAGAAATATGTTTATACGAATTTAATAGAATAAAATATTAAAAGACAATACTATATAGATACAATCCAAAAATGATAAGATAATACATACTGTATATGTATATAGAATGTTGCATATTACGAACAATTAGATATGTATATATATGCCTACTGTATAAATGTATATAAACAAATAAAACATATTGACGAAAAACCTTAGATATCAGCATTGCAACGATTTAAATAAAGTTTATAAACCTCACGCTTAAAAGTAATTTTGTTTGGAGCCTTTTTAATTTCGGGAGGTAGCTTATTCCATAGCTTAATTGCACCAACCGCGAAAGAATTTGAAATGAAGCAAGTACGGTGGGAAGGGATCTCTAGAAGCAGGTTTTCAGATGCACGTAGACTTCGGCTGTGAGAATTGCCAAGAACCCGAAAGTATGATTTTAAATATCCGGGAGCATATGGGTCGTTTAAAATAGAAAAAAGCATGGAGAGGGATCTGAAAGATCTCCTCTCACGAATAGGAAGCCATTCAAGCTGAGCGCGAAAGGAAGAGATGTGGTCGTACTTACGAAGACCGAAGATAAAGCGGATGCAGTTATTAAGCATACGATCCAACTTGTTAAGAAGGTCTTGGGATAGATCAGAGTAACAAACATCAGCATAATCAATTACAGGAAGCACAAGGGACCGGACAAGCAGAGTTTTTATAGTAGGAGGAAGAAAATTTTTGAATCTGTAGAGAGATCGCAGCGTAGCAGTAACCTTCCGACAGACCTGCGTTATTTGAGGGTTCCATTTCAGGCTACTATCCAGGTATAATCCTAAGTCCTTAACGTTAGAAGATAGAGATATGATCTTATCGTTATATAGAATCGATTTTAGCCGATTTACGTTCAATTTTGCTAGGTGGTACGTACTACCAAGGATAATAGCCTGACACTTGCTTACATTCACTGGAACTCCATACTTGTAAGACCAGTTTTGGATGGTACGTAAGTCACCATTAAGTCGTTCTATACAAGTGTCCAAGTCAGTCGCATCAGCCTGAGCATACAGCTGCAAGTCATCAGCGTATAGGTGGTACGAGCATGTGAGGAGACTAGTAATGGAATTTATGAATAAGGAAAACAACAGAGGAGAAAGTATACCGCCTTGCGGTACACCAGTTGGCAGCCCACACCAATCAGAGCATTCTTGACCGACGCGTACCGCCTGCTGGCGACCGCGAAGATAACTAGAGAACCAATCCCGAGATGACGACGAAATTCCAGTCTGAGTTAACATGGCAAGGAGGATATCGTGGTCAACCGCATTAAAGGCGTTGGAGAAGTCGATTAAAACTAAAACAGTTAACTGCGAATCCTCCATACCATGCCTCACATCTTCTGTGACTTTCAGCAAGGCAGTAGAGGTGCTGTGACCAGGTCGGAAACCAGATTGGAAAGGGGACAGGAGTTTGTGCTTAGAGATGTACGAGGATATCTGTTTAAGGACTACTGTTTCAAGGATTTTAGATAGGTAGGGGAGAATCGATATAGGCCTGTAGTGACTAGCCTGATTGGGATTTGGAATTTTCGGAATGGGCATAATGTAGGCTTTTTGCCAGACTGAAGGGAATACACCGTGGAACAATGAAAAATTTACTATATGAGTAAGTATGGGAAGGAGGTGCTCAATGGTGAGAGCAATCATGGTACGACCCACCCCGTCATAGCCGATGGCCTTGGATTTCAGTGATGCAAAGGTTCTGCGGATCTCGAGGTCATTTACGGGACTAAAAGAAAAGGTTGCAGGCAGTATCGCAGGTTTAAAGTTTAAAGTTTTAAGTGATCTCGGAAATAATACTCTGTTTGATATTATCCGCTAAACCAGAGGTGGTCGAAAAATGCTGGTTGAGATCATCGAGGGATATATTTGAAGATGTAATACCTGATGATTTACCAAAACCCAGAGATTTAAGAAACTTCCATATGTCAGCCTGAGAAGAATTTTGAACATTTTCAAAAATGTATCGGCGTTTAGCAGCTCTCACCATCCCATTACACCGATTCCTCGCCAACTTGTACTGACTCCAGTTCTCGTCACTACGATCTCGTTTATATCGAGAGAAAGCTCTGTTTCGTCGCCTCATGGCCATACGAACTCCCGGTGTGATCCATGGAGCGGGTGGACGACGAACACGGACCGCCTTTAATGGTGCGTATGTATCAAGAAGCGTCACGATAGCCCGACTAAAATGGTGAACTTTCTCATCGATACATTTGGATTGATACATATTTGTCCAGTCAATGGACTGTGCCTCGCTGTTGAGTTTGACCTTGTCCAACCTTGCAAAATTCCGTAAATATACAAGAGCTGGGCGTTGCTTCGGTGGCTTAATTTTGTACGACAGAAAAATTAAATCATGTCTTGATAATCCCGGAGCCGCAATTTGTCCATGATTAGCCACGAGTTCCGAGGAGGACACAAGCATAAGGTCTAACCAGGAGTCATCGGAATCAATATTGCAGTGAGTTGGATTTAGAGGGAGAAGCGTCAGGTTCGCCGATTCCAGGATCGACCGCAGCCCACGCGACCTCGGTCCAGCCTTCAAAAGATCGGTATTAAAGTCACCCATGATAATGTGATGCTTGTACTCTGAGGAGAAAGAATCAAGAAGAATCTCTAGATGAGTAAAATAATTGACAGCAGGTGGGCAGTAAACAACTCCAAGAACAGCCTTAGCTCCTCCAACATCAACTTCTAGAATCAAGTATTCGGGACATCCACTCACATAAGTAGAAGAGAAAATAATATTATATGGGATATCGTTGCGAAGAAATATTGCCACGCCCCCTGCCCTCTTTCCAGTGCGATCATTTCTGATTAGTACAAAACCGGGTAGGCTGTACGATGTAGAAGGATGCTCAGGTTTGAGCCAACTTTCGGATATCAATATTGCATGGAAAGAAGTGTCAGAGAACATGTCCATCAACTCCGAATGATGTTGAGGAACACTTTGGGCATTAATGTGGCAAACATTTAAACATTTGCGGTATTTTAGACATGCTTCATTCAAAACTCGGTTAATCGGCAAGCTGTCTTCAAGGGAGGAAAATGAGTCAGCAGAACTGTTGAATGCCGTAATAAAAGAATCGTCGTCAGACATAAATATATAATATAAACTATATAGATTTTAAACTAAGTAATAAAATTAAAACAACTAATATGACAAAATAGGAGCAATAATAATATATTTATAAAAAATGTGCATAATAATAAACATAATAATAATAAACGATATAAGTGTAAGAACAAAACAAATTAAACATTTCTCTTCTGCAGTTCTGCTCATCAATACACGCGAGGTTTAGTACTTAAATAGATATAGGGGAAACTATAAGTAGGTAGGTATGTTGTCATCTTCTTTATTTGGATAATAACTATCGTGAGACAAATTAAATTTATTGAAAACGTCGTTTATTATTTTCATACGTCGTTTATTGTTTTTCGCTACTGAGAACATATCCATTAATAAAGTATTTTAGAATAAAACGTACCTACCTATATTAGCGGGTTTGTTGATATTAATATTTTTCACTATACAGTTGGCGCAGTGAGTGGGCAACTGGACGCTGTGCAACGTTTCGCAGATGCAACACTTTGTTTAATCCACAAATTGTTGCTTCGAGTGTCGGTAGTTTGTGTATGTAAACTTTTATGTTTGCAAACGCAGTCACGACAGAGGAGAAAATCCATGTTGCGTTGTGTCGCCACAGAACGACTCGTATAACATTTGACTGCACACGACACGATACACCACGCCATATTAATAAATTTTGGGTTTGTATGTTGTCTACCTACTTTTTTATGGAGCACTAATCTTTATCCGTGTATGCAACATTTAAAAAGAAAACGCAAGAAATACATTTATTAATAAATAGATTTGCAGAAACCGCTAACCTTAATAAGTATTCACAAAAAGCCCTGCTACCAATAGAGTTGAAAAATTATTTGTAGTCATTTCGTTTTACCATGATTATAGCAAGATAGAGAAAGGAAACACACGTATTTTTATATGCTTTAATTTTAAATTTAAGCCAAAGAAGTAATTATTCAACGAGAATAGTATTACGAGAACTCGCATATAATAGTCTAACACTGTCGCAATAACCTACACCTCGTCGTGATCCCGTTACTAACACATAAGCATCACCTGCTCGTAGAAGTCGTTTTGCTTTGCAATAGTCAAGAGCAGCGGAAACGCGTGCTTCTACTTCTGACGTCCAATTAGATTTTGCAACTTCAAAATAGTGCATGGATCGAACTCCTCGCCAAAAACGTAACTGACGTGCAGTGTGGCATGCTCTAGTTACCGCAACTATGGGACAATGAGGCCTTGCGTGAGCAATTAGTTTAGCAGTTCGACCTGAATTAGTTAGGCATATAATAGCAACAGCGCGAGCCCTCATAGCAAGTTCAACAGCGTTTATACTGATGGCTTTAGAGGGTTCATCAAACGTACTTTGCATTAACTCAGTATTTCCATAAATATAAGGCTGCCAAATTATCCGCTCAGCGTGCCTACAAATAAGCGCTGCAGCGGTCAAACAATGTTCTGCCATCCTTACCGATTCACGGAAGCGCGCAAACTTCGTTGAAGATGAATCGTAATGTAACTCTAAAGCTATTACGTCCACACCATCAATTACTAAATTTGCAATATCCGTAACGCAAAGTGTTGGAAGCTGCTCATTGATTACAGCTTTAAAAATGCAAGGCTTCCCGGCTTCATTGCACTTCGCTGGTATAATTTTCTGAGCTATAAATATTTTCTCCAGTGGCAAATCAGAGCCTAAAACACATCGATCTACATAAATACCATCTGCTTCAGCGAGAATTTTATCTAAATTATCAAATCCTAAAACAGTTTCAATAGAGGCAATGACTAAAATGTGTTTTCCTTTTTCTAATAACAGCTCTCTTACTGCGCGAATGTCTTGAACGGACTGGGCAGCTGGAACAAGTACAGCATCTATGTCAGACCCAATCGCCCAAGCTACTTGTTCTTGCATGCCTTCGAAAGGCTGTTGATGTTTTTCATTACAATTCAATGAATCTAAACTACCATCTTTTGCTACGGCTTCAATATCCTGAGGTACTTGAGTGACCCGGACCGTCATTTTGGCGCCAATGGTTCCACCAAAAGCAATTGTACAGTCTACTGAGTCATCCCCAACATCAGTTACAACAAGCTTGATCATTCCCGGGGTGAGACTATCTATAAATATTAAATCATTGGGTTGTAGATCAGTTAAGTGGTCATATCCGATATATAAGCAGTCAGGAGTTCCACATTCACGCCAACTAGTATCTGTTGTTAAACGAATTGAATTAGATTGGATGAGATCCACGGTTGATTTAGGACCACCTTTTAAATCTCCTGTTACAATATCTGGACCCCTTACATCCATCATCAGCGCCAGTGGATAAACATACTCTAATTCAGCGCTATAATTATAAACGGCTTGCCTTATGCTTTGAATAAGTTGTGCACAAGCGTCGGGTTCCATATTCCGCATATTAAGCCTAGCCACTGTCATACCTGCAGCGATTAACCTTTGTATAGTAGCCGGCTCCCGATTTGAGAAACCAATATCGCACATGAGACCCATTTGCAATTCTTCGCATGGTGGTTGATGAATGTTTATATTACAATAATGTTTAAACAAAGACGGTTGCGGTGGCGTAGGATTTTTAATTCTATGACTTAGAGCTGATTCTAAAGGAATATGCCACGGTAAAGCCATTATGTATAAGCTTAACAGATAAAATTGATAAAAAATAATTAAATTGTCATTAAAATTATATAAGTTCATGAAACGTTTGACAAATTGCGCTTTATTTTTAATCAAACGTCAAAGAATAGAGCTGGTTAATGTAAGGTTTAAGGTTGATCATAATTATTGCGGGTTATACGAACTCAGTCGAATTTTCATAAATTATGTAGGTATGTCCCTGAAATGTATATTTGGGTTTCGGAACATCATAATCACCGTAATTTTAACTCCATAAATACCCTCACCATTGTCTGCTATGCTTTTCTGTTTTTTATATGCCTCAATCACCTGCTTCCATCCAGACAGAATTGTTTGAAGACCTTTTGATTTTTATTTGAAATTATTAGATAAGTTAGATATTCTCCAAGCGATTTATCAATTATTTTTTAGGAGAGAAAGTCATCAAATAATTTTACCACGCGGATGGGGTGAGAGGAAGTTTCAGACTCTTATTGACTCTCTGTACTCTTATTCTCTTATTGACTCTTATTAAAAACCACCCGGTTCCTTTGTCCTGCTCCGAGCTGTAACCCCAACTAGAACCGAGTTTACGGCGCGTCGCGATCGTGGTATTAATATCCAGAAATTCTTCTATTAAACTAAACTATAAACTCATATAGTCTCATGTCGTGTAATCGTTGTTGAGTTATGCGCTTACCAACATATTTTGCTATTCATTTCTAACTAATAAGATTATGTTAGCGTTCATCTGATCAATGGTTTAGATAGAAGTTTTGTTACAAACATTTTTTTTAGATAATATCTTTTTTTTAATAAGTTTTCAAGATTATGTCTTCTTGTTGCAAACCCTTGGTAGGTATTATGTTCTGGACTGTGGTGTTGCAAACAAGCCACTTGACATTCGCCTCATTTTGACATTGACAAATTTCGTCAAAAGATTTGAATTTCTTGTAACCCGGCGCTCAGCTACTCTGCAATTATTTATCTAAAAACGGTTGTATGTATGTGCAAATGTGCGTTATACAATTAATTGAAGAGTGAAGCTTCTGAATCTTCTGATAACTAAAACTATTTGATTGTTCTGATCAAAACGTATGTTGAGCTAAAGGTTGAAGGTTGAGATATGGTAATACATACTTTGTTTTGATAGTTTCGAGTGCAGCTCAAATAAAAAATATATTAATTACTTGATGTTAATGAAGTATTTTTTTCCTATAGGTGAAATGTACATGGTGAACATTTATCATAAAATGAAGAGCATTCGATTAGATTCTAAATAAAATACTTATTATAACATCTAGTAAAAATATTAAAAGCAACTGATTAATCTACTGGATGTTTGTTATACACTTGCATAAACTAAGTTTGGCTAAATTATCGCACAGTAAGTTTTCTTATAAATAAATAAACACACATCAAGGGGTTTTGAGTAATACATACATAGTTTTTAAATAATGTAGGTATCATATTCATATTTGACTCCTTGTTGTCTAAATTATTTTGAGTCACTGAAAAAGTACTTAATAAAAAGAATAGCAATGGAATTGGAAATATCAGTCAAAGAAGCCAGTAGTGGCCTTAAGTCTGTTCGTGTAACAGAACGAAAGAAAAATGCAGAGCTTTTAAAAGAATTTCTTACTAGAAATGCAGTGCCTTCTCTGTTAACTGATAATACTATCAAAAAGAAGGGATATACATGGAACAATCTTTTTGATGACATTAATGAATATATTCTAAAGGTATGTTAAAGTTATTTATCTAATTATATAATTCTGCCGAAGCAACTTAATGAACTTAAGACCTATTTTGTATTTCATGCTATTATTATACAAATATATGATATTATTAAACCTATTATTTAATAGAAATTATAAAAAAACCAACAAACACCTCAAATCCATTAAAACATTACAAAACTTTCTTTGTTTAGGAAATAGAAAAGTTTGAGACATCAAAAACATATGAGAGCACAACAAGACCACTTTGTACTAGTTTATTACATCAATGTATGGCCGGCGCTAATAAAGGTATGTTTTATTATGCTATGATCAAAATATGATCTTAAATAATCTTTGGCATTTTTGCATGGGGTCATAATTTATGTTTAATTTTATTAATATTTTGTAATACATACCACGATACACTCCAAGTTGTCTTATGGTTAATTAGTTCAGTACTTACCAATTGTTTCTTAACAAAATTGTTACCAACTAAATTCTCTGAGTACAACTATTAATGAAAGAGTCTAGGAAAGTAAACTAATGTACTCTAATAATTCATGTGAATATTTTCAGGTAAAGCTTATATAAAAACCGACAAGATTGTAGAGATTTGTCTGTACATAATAAGAGATAGTAGAATGGTGCGAGCTATTGGAGACTGTTATTTGAACTTGCTACTGAAACATTTCCTGCCTTATGAACACTATTTGGACCATGTCACACCAAATACATGGAAAGGTAATTTATATATTTATTTTTTATTAAGAGGGCTCTATCTAAAGACTGGGTTATTAGTTAAGCAAATTATTTTATTTGGTTTTGGTTGCCCCACACTATGCTTTTCGCCTGTGTTGTTAGTGTGTTTACAAACATACAATTTAACATACACATCACATTTAGACATAGAACAACAATTAATGAATCACACATAGAGTTGCTCCATGAACCTGTGCCATGTTGCACAGTAGCTGGTGCAGTCCAAGATTTGGATATTTACATATATACAGTTTGTTATTTTGAACAATTTAGCATGAAGAATTATTTCTTATGAAAGTTTTATTTTAGGCCCAGATTCAAGTCCTTGAATATAATATAATATCATCATTCAAAATAACACCCAGTGTTATTAACGCAATGTAGGCTTTTTGTTGCATAATTCATTCTTATTGCACATTTTTGCATGAATAGTTTGACTTAGCACTTTTATGTTGCATAGGCTCTATTTATTATAATACCCACATATTATAAAAGATACAAATAATTGTTTAAATTTTTTAATAATAATATTCTTTTGCAGAACTTTTGGATGTTTGTATTGATGCATGTTCCTCAAATGATTACAAACTGGACAACTTCACAAAACTGAGACTTGTTCTACTTGTAATGAAAAGTGGAAAGGAAAATTGTCAGTTTGTGAAATCACTTATGGAATCACTGCCTTCATTAGAAGAGTACTTTTTGAACATTTCAAATGATAAGAAAGTACAAGATGTTGTTATAGAAATATTAACACTGTTACTAGAAACGGTAGGATCATTATTAATTGACAATATTGAAAAAGATTTTAATTATGTGATTATATTTTAATAATAACATGCTAGCGGCCGTTTCCGGGGGCCCATTAATTGAGTTTGCCAGTCACCCCCTGCCTGTTTATCCGTATGTATCAATATTGGTCAGGGGCAGGGGCATTTCCATATTGGTATTTCCATAGTTTTCATCCACTAGTCCATAGCAACCCATACCCATAACCTAATAATTTTTTACCACATTTCGCAATAGTCCTCCATCAACCGGGGATTGTCCTTGGGTGCACTTTCATAGTGCATACAGGAATAACTGCCGGCTGATGTCCCATTTCACTTATATTAAAGTTGTTCAAAGGGCCTCTGCGAGTTGGCTTCGGCCCCTCGTACGCCTTCCAAAAGTCCGGGACCCTGTGGTCCCGTGAGTGGAAAGGAACATACAAAATAATAATAATAATATTTCTTTTTAGTTATCTTGTGAATATCGGCTGACTATGTGTCAATTTACTGAAACTTTGATGCCTTCATTATTGAAATTTTATGACCAAAACAAGGACCAAAAGAAAAAGGTAACATACATTTTTTATGCATATACCTGAGTTGAATGAGCTTAAATGTTAAATACTTATAATTCTAATAAAAATTGCCTTGTTTTATTTACAGAATTTATTTTTTTACTTTTTACACCTAACTATTATACTCCACCACCCAATGGGTAGAACTAAGAATGAAGAAGGAAGCCTTGCAAATAACTGGGAGCTGTGGACAAAATATTTGAACAGTATAATGGAAATAATATGTTCAGAAGTGAACTATTTGCGGAAAAATCGTAAATTAAATGATAGAATTTTTCAACTATGTTCACATTTTTATAATCTATCAGCATCAGTCCATTATCAGGTAAATTCCACTGCATTCGATCATTTACATGCATGCATTAATTCTTCTGATAAGTTTGTACTATTTGTCCTATCAAATATTTTTATTTATTTATTATTTCTTTTTATTATCACCCTTATTTCACGTATTTTATTTAATTATAGATATTTGAACTATCTCAAAGGAGCGACAGCAATGAGAATGTATCAAAAAGATTAAAAATGAGCATTAACAAGAACAAAAGATTTGGTGACCTTGTGAATGAGTTACAACAAAATCATGTACCATGGTAAGTAATCTGATCATTTGTTTCCTGTTTCTCATCACACTGTTCTATTTTGCTATTATTATTACATTTAAATATGTGTAAGGTCAATAGATACCAGGTATGTTGAACTTTGTGCTAATAGAACGGTAATGGGACTCAACAGGTCCTTTTTAAAAGCCTGGAAAATGGATTTTAAGCTTATCTTCTCTTTTAAGTTATTTTATATTTGACAGAGTAGTCAGCAGTGTCACGTAAAATGTTCCTGTACAAAACGGCGACACGCCATTCAGTCTATCAGTAGTCTTTCTCGTATATCAGCTAACTAGCTTTTGCTCGCTCCGTTCGCGTGAAATATTGACTTTCTTCAGATATTGGTATAAAAAGTATCATATGTCCTTTCTCGAGTTCCAAACTATGTCTGTACCAAATTTGACAGAAGTCGGTTCAGTAGTTTAGGCGTGAAGAAAAGACAGACAAACAGGGTTACTTTCGCATTTATGATATTAGTTTAGATAGGCCAGGCAGTTCGTCGCTCTTATTAAGACATTCTATCTCAACGGAACATTAATCTTATAGTAAAACTTCTTATCACCAGAAAAACTTGTAAATATTTATAGTCATTCAAAAAATGGCACTAAGACCACCATATTGCAGCAAAAAGTATTTAATTAAAAAAATATATATTACTTAGGTAAAATTATAAGAGGACTTTTCTCGCCCGTGAAGAAGAGCAAGACTCTAACCGACTAAATACCACTCGGTTCCTTCTCCTGTTTCAGGCCAAGGCCACAATATACAATTGCGCTTGCCCCGGAAATGTACTTGATAAATGTTTAAAATGTCTACTTTTTTAAGGTTGGGAATCATACATGTTTACGTAGAAAAGTATGCCAACAGCTTATCCATGGACGATTACCTATTATTGTTAAATGCACTACAAGTACTTTTAACTAATTACACCAGTAATTTGGAATGGAATACATTTGAGCAGTTGACTTGCTTGGTATTGAAGAACTCTAATCTATTTAGCAACAAAAATGCTGAATTTAGAAATGCTGCTGTGTCCTTATGGAACTCATGTGTGAGGTAAGATATTGCTTGGATTTTTTCGTCTAAACTTCTTGTTTATTGTGAGGGAAAGAAACCCTTTTTCTCGAAACAACAGTCTGTGGACCACGAAAGAGTAGCTCCGTGCGAGACGATTCCCACTACAGTTTGCGCCTATTGCGCCGACTGTATCTTAATGGAGCGTACTATTGAGTAAATTCCTATAATGTTAAGGCAGTTCTTTCTTTGTCTAAAATAATAAATTTAGTACTACATTAAAATCTTAATACGTATAGTTTACATTGAATTACTTACTTTACATTGAAATCATTGGATAAAAAATGAACAATAACATGATTTCTTTTTTTCTTTTAGAAATTGCACCGCTGTAACGCCGTCTCACAAAGCGATTCAAGTGATTATGCAGTATTTAATACATTCCAATATATTAGAGTATACTGACGCTCTGCACCTGATAAAGCTGTACCTTTCAAACGACATGCCAATCACTAACAACAGTGTACAAACATTATGTGCTACCTTCTACAAATTCTATAGCAAATGTAGTATGGATGACTTCAGATGTAAATGCTTATCTTGGCTCACAGTAAATGAAACTCCATTTTCATTCGTCCCAGAAATATCGGAATTACTATTTAGACTAGTCGCCAGCGAGAATATTTCATTTCATTCTATTGAAGCTGCTGAATCTGAATCCGATAATTTACGTAAAATACTCTACTATAACACAGAAAAATGTATCTTATTCAGTGAATTTGAGATACAAAATTCAGTAAAAACTTTAGAAAAGGTCACAGAATATGAACATATTGGCACAGTTTGTGAAATTGAGGTACAAGTGAACGAGTATCTTAGAAGGGTTTTAGTAGCAAATAATACACGACAATTACAAACAGAAACGGATTTAATAGAATGTATGAAGCTGATTAATATAAGCTTACAATACCTTGAGAAGCTCCTAAAATACAACTTAAAATCTCAAGATCAAATTGAATGTAGTCAGTTGTCTGATTTACTGACAACTGCTTTGACTAGAATGAGCACGTCATTGAATAGCTTGTTGGGGAGTAACTCTCAGATATCGTGTAAATTAAAACCTCTAGAGTTATTAAGAGAAATTCTGGTCACTGACTTTAATTCTGTATTAGCTAGGTTGGTACGTGCGAGTATCGATGCAGATCTGTTCCATACTATCAATAACATATTGAATATTGAAGTAAAATTTGATGAATGCGACATTATTATTGATGGAGACCAAGATGACATCAATATGAATACTTTGAAACATAATTGTTTCTTGTTGCTCGCTGCATACTGCACAAAAGAGTCTGAGTATCAGGAAGAATTACTGAAGTTAATATTAGATGAAAATATCTACAATTTTAAATATGATATCCCTTGTATATTTCAATGTATAGAGTTGTTAATAGAGTCTAAAGTTGAAAATCCTCCTTTAGGTAAGCCATCAATTATTATGGTTCAATAAGCAATTGCAACTAGTCAACCAATTAAATTATTTTTTTATTACCAATTAATATTTTCCAGGTTTAATTTTCTCATTAATGCAGCATATATGCCAGAAGTTGTACAGAAATTCAAAAGTTTCATACGAAATTCTTAAAGTCCTCTTAAAAATAATGGATCCTCTATGTGAGGACAGCAATGATATGAAGAAGAATTGTTTGATCATGATTAAGAGTTATTGGCAGCTTTGCGACAGTATGTTTTATCCACCGAAAGTAGCGGCTTTAATATACGAATGTATTACTAAGATTGTTATAATAAATCAAAAACAATCTATGAATATTGAGGATAGTTTTGAAGAAGCTTGTATGAACAAGGTCAAAGGCAGCGTTCATAGTATTCGCCTTCACTGCTGTTATTTAATGAAACTGATAAACAATTTCTGTGAGGACGATATCGATGCGTTTGCAGTTCAATTACTCGATATATTTTTAACTGATGTAAGTATTTGTAACAAAGGTACTTAATTAAGAAAGAAAGAAAGGCACGAATGGTTTGCCTCGACCGGAGTGATACCACGGCCTCATACGGTATCCCTTCCCAATCCCTAAATATCCGCATTCCTTATCCCCAAAAGTCCGGTAACGCACTCATAACTCCTTTGGTGTTGCGGGAGTCAATGAGCAGCGCCGATTGCTTACCATCAGGTCGTTGTCCGTCAGCTCGTTTGCCGACTTATCCCATAAAAAATATTACCGAATCGATTAATTTTTTTTATTTTATTTATTTATTTTATTTTATTAAAACTTCATGCACAATGGGTACATAGGCGGACTTAATGCCTTAGGCATTTTCTACCAGTCGAGCCTTGGGTGATGCAGAGGTGAGCCAATGGTCGGTGCAAGAAGCAAGCAATCAGACTTAAATTTAAATGAGTGAAGACGAGATAGATACATATATATGTGCAAATATTTACATACAAGTTACAATAATATATATAAACTAAATTACATAATATATTTATAAATAACATATACATATATAATATATACTTATACTTATTATAATATACTATATATATGGTGGTCACGATTCAGCCAAACCTTTTAGCAAGAGCTCACGAACCTTTTTTTATCATTTCATTGTTTTTTTCTTTATCAGTAGACAGATTTTAAAAGAAATTAATACTTATTTCAGGTGTCATCAAGAAAAGAATCAATATTAAAGGACGAGTCAGCCAATAGGACTGTCACAGTACTCCACGCTTTCGTTGCGCTTGCGCAATCTAAGCAGTCGTCCATACTAAGCGTGGTACTTCAAGTGATACACTTGCAGAAACTGAAGTCATTGGATAAACATTTGATTACCAAAGTTTTAAAAATTATTGTCAATACTGTGGGCATAAAAAATCTACAAACGTACTTGAATAACAACATTTTATCTCTAGTACACTTTTGGTTTACTAAAAACAATGAAATTAAAGATTTTCCAGTCTATTTACTTGGGTTTGACAGTACAGACAGTTTTATTGAGACACATATGAAGTGGCTTGTTGCGGGAGAGATATTGTGGCGGCAAGGAGGGAATTTAAGAAACAGTGAAATCTTGAAAATTTTTGCCACGAAACATAAGAAATCTGTTGAAAATGTCCTTGAGGTAGGTAAATAAAAGTAAACTTTACAAAGGTACAAGATTTTTTCAAATTAGCTTAGCTTTAAGAGATCTGATTAAATGCAGTAACAAAGTAGTGCAATAAGCCTTTTCTTTTTATAATATTAGTAAAGATCGTTACGTAAAGTCTCGAAACGTTTTTTTGTTAAAATAACATATTATACCTACTTACAATATAATACAATACATTGATACGTATTTTATTTTCTTACAGACTTGTTTCTCTAATTTAATGGCATTATGTATGCCTTATATCGTCAGTGCGCAATACGAAATTGACTATTACGACCCACGGAATAGAGACGTTTTTAGAAAATCGAAGAACAATGCCAACAAAACTTTTCAAATGATGGGTGAGATTTTAGAAAACGAAAGTTGGAGCAACCTCTTTGTTGAGAATGTCGGGGAGCTGTTGTTATTGGTAACAAAGTATATGAGCGACACTGAAGAAGCTGAGCAAATATTTCAAGTCAAATTACCGAAACGCAACCCAGAACTGTATTATCCAAAGAGGATTTTCTCTGCCATTCTAAACTATTTTGAAGTGAGTAGGTATAGTAGAATATTAATATGATTGAACTCTACATGATATACCTCTACTTCTTTTTAGAATAGAATAGATATAGAATCGCCCCCACGTATCCATTTATAATGCATCCCATTTCATTACTTATGTTGTCTTTTATTTCAGCATCTCACTGATGGAAACGTACTTCAATATCTCTGTAAAGATCAAACAGTAACAATATTTAAAATTCTGTTCGAACTATGGAAATCTGTGACCCAAGAAAGTATATTTGAACTGAAAGTATTGGCCCTTCATGCATATGTTACTTTTATAAGAAATGTACCCTTGGGGCACCCTTCCGATGCCTTTATGTGTAACTTTGCCTGCAACAGTTTCACTCAAGCTATTAAAAATTGTAGCGACAAAAAAGAAATGAAGGCATACATCGACGGTTTAAACCTAGTCCTTAGTTATTTGTTACCAGAAAAAGCGAAACTTATGCAAAAATCTCTGTTGGAATTGTTGCCAGCATTGATAATTAAAAAAGAATCTGATTACGAAGTGGAGTGCACAAAATTCTTAAATGATCTGAATGCTAAGATGAGAGTATATTTGAATGATAGTGAAGATGTCGTTGATTTTATATCATCAATGACGCAAGATGATGACTATGTACGTTGTGCCAATTTAGCTGTATTTAAAGAAAAGTTAAAAACTCATAGAATGAGTTTGAATCGTCCCAGGTAAGTTGAATAAATACTTACCTATAAAAATGAGTACTTAGACCTATTTCAAAATTTAAAATATATTTTTTTTTTAAATTCAAATGCGTTCTTTTTTGTTTTCAGCAATGAAACTTTGCTTAAACTTCGTCAGTTTCTAAGTTGTAATAAAGAACATGTACGTAGCTTGTATTGTGATTTGGAATCTAAGACCTTTTCCGAAGACTGTGAGACGAGTATCATACATCAGATCGTACAGTCCCTGTGTAACATACTGAAGTCGAATTACGATGATAAGGTATTCTTTGTTTAGCATTGCATTTATATTTAAGACAGCTTATCTCACATATTATCTTTCTGAATGTAACTGCCATACTCAGAAACATTTAATGATTGCTTAGTAATGGTGTTGTTCCGAAAACAATTGCTAAGGACTGCTTGCCGGGGCTGCGGGGTAAGCGCAGTGAGGCACCGCGACCTCGGCCCAGAGCAGGAGAAGGAACGGGGGGTTTTTAGTCAGTAAGAGTCTGAAACTCTCTCGCCTTACCCTAGGCGGGAGAAGTCCGTGGATAATTTTCCCCTGACAAATAAAAGGACTGGTTAAGTTCGGTGCTGTGGAGCAGTAAAAGGAATGTGGTGGTTTTTAATTAAGTAATTTGAGTCTGACACTCAGTTTTAGTCGGTAAGTAATTTGAGTACTTTCGCCTCTTAAAAAACTGACTCAATGACTCTGAGTATGGCGTTATGGAGTTGCCAGAGATAGCGCATTTTTAAAATTGAATACCAGCCCTACCCGCAGCTGTCAAAAGTACCGAATAATCGTATAGTCTTCACATTTGACAGAGGTTTATGGTATTTAAGTTTGCTTTCTTAAATCTTTTCAAACATTTCATTAATTACTTTGTACAAAATTGTGTTTTGCCGTGTCAGTACGGCAATCGTAGGCAATTGTAACTCTTCGGTGTTATGGGTGTCGGCATTAGCGGCGTTGATGCTAATCATCAGGGGATCAGACTAGCTAGACTGCTAGTTTTATAATTTTGTTTCCTTTTGATGGAAAATAATCAAATGACTTCTCCCGCCCAGGGTCGCGGTGGGAGGGAGTGTCAGACTCTTACTGATTAAAAACCCCCGTTCCTTCTCCTGCTCTGGGCCGAGGTCGCGGTGCCTCATTACGCTTACCCCGCAACCCCGGCTAAACATCGGCTCTATAGGGCGCAGTCTGTGGTGGTCTATTGGCTCTTTGAGGCGCGCGCGGAACGCTACGTGCCGTACGCTCGGGTCTGGTTCTGGTCGGGCAGCGAGTTGCCCTTACTCGCCGTCCGCAGAGCCGCGCTTACGGTGACCGGAGATTGTTTCTCGAGACTGCTAGATTGTCGACCTCTCGTTAAAAATCTGCTACTACATAACAAATATTATTTTTTTTTCAGATTGTTGTGGAAGCATCGAACTGTTTATCAGAGATCAGCTCATACGACTTGAAGACATTAGTGACAGTGCCACCTGCAAACACTAATATTATGGCGGGAAATGCAACTCGTTACTTCATGCAAGTGGTCGGGAAATCTCTATTTGATGTGTTCTTTGATGAAGATCCTAATATTACTGATGAAATAGCTGAGACCATGAATGATCTGTTGAAGTTCTTGCATATTGATGATATTCCAGGTATGTTAGACTGATCGTAATTTCAATTGTGTATAAGTATACATTAAGTAGGTATCAAATCTCAATCGCTCTATAGGCTGGGCACGCCTCCCGCAACGTGGACCAATGCTGCCAGTAGACTGCACGGTCGGCGCAGTGGCTGGCAACTGGCTGTTGTGCAACATGTCGCGGGTTCGATTCCCGCACGGAACAACACTTTGTGTGATCCATAAATTGTTGTTTCGGGTCTGGGTGTGTTGTGTATGTGAATTTGTATGTTTGTAATCGCACCCACGACACAAGAAAAAATCCTAGTGTGGGGTAATGCTTTAAAAAAAATGGCAACGTCAAAGTGGCTGGGAGGTTGGCTCCTCTATGCAAGTGAGGAGTTAAGAAATAAGGGGAGGCCTTTGTCCAGCTGGCTTCTGCTGGCATCTTGACGTATTATGACTGATGATGAATCACAGTCATCTCGCTAAAGATTATTCTTTAAAACTGTGTCTGTTTTTTTAACATAATTCGAAAAAGAAATTCTCATCACAAATAAATGTGTAGCCACAAACACTATAATTGACCTATTTTACATTGTGGCAGCCGATTCTGTCAATAATATTTTGATTTGGAAATGGTTTCAGGTTTGGAAGAAATCGACAGAAATGTTTTAGAACCATTTTCGTCTCAGAAGCAAAGTGCTCTAGATACGGTTACTGATAGCATGGCGTTTGAAGAATACTGCTTATCGTATCCCGAGGGAGTATTTCTCAATTGCCTCCTGACTAAAGACAAAGCTGATTGGTTGAAAGAGGTCACGTGCACGCTTTTGCAGTTTGTTCATTCGTCCACTAATTATGTGAACAATTTAAGGCGAGTTTGCGCGTTAAAGGTAAATTTTAGGTCTCTTACAGAGAATTACATGGCGTACGGAATTTACAAATAATATAATACGTTGATTTTGTTTTAATAACATTTCAGCCTCATCTTTGCCGCAATATATTACCGGCTCTTGTGGGCCTACTTCTGCAAGGGTTCACTGAGAGGCACATAAAAGCCATCAGTGATCATATTAAGAAATTTTTCAATAACATTTGGGAACAAACCTTTGACGAACAGTTGGAGAACAGTGGAGACAGTAACTTTAATGCCAGGACAGATGGCACAGTGACGCATGGCTACAAAACTATCATTCAATACATGCTCGAAATTGTTGATTTTGTACGCATACAAAGAAATTATTTGCAGTCAAGGCAAGTACGATTTAAGTTTGTGAGTGACCACTCATTTGTTTTCTTAAATAACCTTAATTAGAAGCTTATCGTCGAGAAGTTAACCTCTTCCTCTCTAAACCAGCGTTGTGTTTCGCCGTGTGAGTAAGGTTACAGAAAGCCAGATCCTTACCCTCCCTCAATCCCTGCCCAATTCCAAAATCTCCAAATCCCTAATCCCCAAGAGGTCGGCAACGCTCTCGTAACTCCTCAGTTGTTGCGGGGGGTATCCATAGGCGGCGTAGATTGATTACCATCTGGTAATCCATCTGCTCGTTTGCCAACATATACTACATAAAGAAGTCTTAAAATTGTTCCATTATTATGTTACAGGCCGGGAAATCCAATAAAGACGTTAAATTACCTTGAGCTCGATTACGACAAGGTTGCATGGGCTGCGGCAGTAGTTGATCAAAACTGGGCTGCAGTTTACTATGGAGAACTCTGGGCCGTCTTTCAAAATGGCGGCGTTTCGCCAAGCTCGCCAGAGGCCACCTCTAAACTAGCTGGCGGAAAGAATCTACAGAGAATATTTAGAAAGGTATGCTTAAAATTAAATTATGATAATCTTTATGTAATTGTAGTTTCTTGACGACTTATCAATAATCAATTTTACAAACCAGTGTTACGTATCCATCGGAGAAGTGGATGCAATCGAAGGATGTGGCACGGAGCATTTAACAATGGAGAATGAAAAACGGAAACATCTTATAAACACGGGGCAGTTCACAGACGCATTACTGATGCACGATATTGCGCTGTCTTGCGGCGGACAAGGCGACCAGGACTTGCACTATGGCGTGGTCAGGTCACTGCATAAGTCTGGCATGCATCATCTTGCGTTAAGTTATATAAAATCTCTACCGGAGAACGACCAGCTGAATGATTTCAGATACGAGTGCTTGGCGTTTTTGGGTGAGTTACCATAGATTACGCAAGTTCATCATTATCCACCACCGCTGAGCAAAGGCCTCTTCTCATACGGAGAAGGTTAGAGCATTAATCACCACTCTTGCTCAATGCGGGTTGACGATTTCAAACTTTTAGAAATTATAAGTCCAGGTTTGCTCTCGATTTTTACCTTCACCGTATGTCAGTGGTGTCTAAATAATCATGGAAAGTACATATAACTCGGAAAAAGTCACATTGGTACTTGCCAGGTTGCCAACCCACACCCTCATGCATGAGAGGCGGGCTCCTTAACCTCCGGGCCACCACGATATTATTACGCAAGTTACTTATGTATGAAAACTTAATACAAACTATATCTATATATTTTGAATTTCAGGTGACTGGAGCCATTTCGTCGACACACGAGAATTGTCAGAAAAACACAAGCAAGCCAATTGTAATCAAAACTCAGTGGTAAAAGCATTCCAATATGCTTGTCTTAAGAGCTGTCTAAATGTCCAAACTACTCCTGAATTTGAAAATAAACTGCTGGTACCCTTGAATAAAGCGAAGTTAGCAGTTTCGAGATTGTGTCACAATTTGAATATGGAAAATTGTCAGAATATATATAAAGTTTTGGAGAAACTTCATATATTTAACGATATTGAGGATTATTTCTCTGTAAGGATGAATCGGTCTCAAGTGTCGGAGTTGCTTCGGCAGTGGGACGTAGATAACTTGCCGCCGTTCATTGACTTCAAGCACATCGAGGGGCTGTCCTCACAGCGAGTGCTGATACTGGAGCACGCTGCCAGGTCTTATAGCGACAAGTTAAACGAAATAGTGTCTCTGCAAATACAGTATGCCCGTAAGTTACTTCTCATCGTTAAAATTTGCCTGCTTATAATTTGATTATGACCCATACTTATGCGAGGTCGCATTTTTATAATAAAATTACAGTTTTAAAGTCGACAACTACAAAAGTTTATATATCAATATACACATTGCCCATACCACCAAGTGCGTTGTTGACCTTTTTGATTGGGGAATTGGAGATAACGGAGGGAGGATTTTGTCTCCATATTATTATAAGATAGGACATCTAAAATATTATAAAATTAATGACTTTAAAAATCTGAATAAGCTGACTTACGGATACTTCACCGTATAAAAATAATGAAAGTTAAATTGTCTTATTTTTCCAGAAATGGCTCTAAACAACCGCAGGGTACAGATGGCACAGCGCTTGCTAGCAGTTGCCAAGAAATGTAAGGTGTCTGAAGATGTGACACTGGTGGAGAGTGAGATAGCATGGGCTAAGGGCCACAAAGAAATCGCGCTGTCCCTCCTTCGCAATATTGTCACCAATCACACGCTGGATGCTAAACTCGCAGCTATGTCGTTACGGTTAGTTATTTCAAAATTTTGGATTTTGATTAAGATTACACCAACGTTGTAAGTACGAAAAATGGCAGCAAACTTGCTTCATTTATTTACATTTCTAAATGCATTGTTGGTATTGCATTGTTGCATTACAGCTACTATGCGACCAGATTCAATATTTCGAGGTTTCGATTTGCTTACAGAAATTTATTGTTCTGGGCTTTTTTCTTTTTGATGGGGAAATCATCTAGTGATTGCTCATGCCCTGGGTATGGCGTACTTTTTTCGGCGTTCGGCGTTCTTTTTTCTGCTCCAAGCTGAGCCGCAACCCTGACTGGACATCCGCCCTAATGGGCCCCAAGCCTTGAAAACAATGAGCTCCTTCGGCTATTACATGTAATCATCTAACGTTTAAATATACCTTATAATAGTCTAATTGAAATAAATAAATCATTTGACTTACACTATGTTGTAGCCGTTACGCGCTGTGGATGGCCGAATCGAAGCGCGACAACCCTCGAGAGATAATACACAAATATTTGCAAAAAAGTCTAGACGTATTGGGTACTGAGAATGTTGAAGTCCGACTGAAAGTCTATTACGATATTGCAAAGTTCGCCGACGCTGAGTACAAACAGGTATTAATCAAAAAAATTTCGTTATATAAATATTGGATACATCTTGAAGGTTTAGCTAGAACTGAAAAAATCGGTGCTGTATATCCACAAGTTGTAAACAAAACATGGCTTATATTTTGTATACCTATTTAAAATATATGGGTAAGCTAATGACAGCAACAAGGTTCTTCTCTTCTGCCAGATATTTATTTAAAAAGTAGAGGGGAAAATAGCTTTCTCTTTTTATTTAAAAAATAACGTTGCTCTACAATAGGATTGTCGTGGATGCGTTAACAAACATACAAATTCACATACACATCATCCCAGATCTTTCGTCGTTAGGTAGACGCCCGTGCCGAAAAGGGGGAAAAAGGGGGCTGCTAGTATATTGTTTTGTTATTTTCGAATTTATAAGAATATTTCGGACTAAAAATAATTTTAATTTAATATCGTTTCAGGTGGTAGCTTACATGAGCTCTTCAACATACGAAAACAGAGTCAAATGCTTGGAAAATATGAAAGGGACGGCATCATCATTAGGCAATAAATCTGCCAAGTTGCTAACAAAGTAAGTAGATTATAAACAAACTAGAGTTATAACTATATCTGTTATTAAATATAAACACAATGTATACTCGTTACCTACTCATTCTTGATTTTCTTTTCAGGGAAGAAGGAAGAGCCTTACTTACAAACAGAAAGTTCAAAGAGCTTGATGAAGCTGAAATAGCAAACGCGCAAGTTGAAAAAGATAACTTCCTGCAGTTAGCTATGAGGTGAAATATGTTTGTAGGAGTGTATATTACTTAATATGTTGTAAATTATCAGTGAAAAACAAATTATTTGGTAATTTATACTAATACTAATATACTATAAAAAGGTAAAATTTGTATGTTTATATGTAAGGGGTAATCTTCGGCACACACCTGTCGGATTTTCAAAATTCTTTCACTGATAGATACAACGTTCCTGAGTTCTATAGTCTAAGTAAAAATTATACTTGGTAGCTTTTATAGGTACCTTAAGCTTGATTAACCTGTTCCGGTAATTACCGCCCCGAAAGGGGGTGGTACATCTGACTGGACACCAACTTAGACCAGCTTGGCGAGAATTTGACTTGACTATCGCTTTAAACGCTACCGCGTGTGAAGCCGTGGGCAGAAGCTAGTTATTTATAAATGTATTCGCTTTCATTTCGATTGGTTATTTCGATTGGTTAGACAATTATGATTAATTAATCAAAAGACACTTTTTTCGTATTTGATTTGATAATGTAAAGAGAAATGTAATTTATTCTTTATAGATATTATCTGCTGTCATTAAAGCAGTGTGATGAGAACAACTTGTCAGTGTTTCGTGTGATATCTCTGTGGTTGGCCAACCAGGACTTTGAATTTGACGCTGGGAAGGAAAAGTTTGAAGAACTTATTAATATGATACCGTCTTGGAAATTCGTCACCGTACTGCCACAACTTACACCAAGACTCACTGATGAGGATACACCGTTCATCACGATTTTGAAAAATATTATAAGTATGTGTCTTCTTTCATTTAATATTATGCTACCATTTTTTGGTAAAGAATGTTACAATATAGGTATTTTTATATAAATTTACTATCGTCTCCACTTTGTGAAAGAGTTAAAGTACTTATTAGAAGAGTGTCTAAGGCGAGATCATCTTTGCCTTGATTCTCCTTTTTTAAATATCTTAATTTATTTTTAATTTGTTTACGGAGCGTCATATTTGTAATTGCAAATAAGCTCTTTTAAATAAAGATTGAAAAAAAAATATTATGTTACAAGTTTTCGATATACTAACTATCATTTTATGAGTATTTTTTAATTCACTGTGAAACCTTGTTGTTTTCTTAACGTTGCCGCTGTCGTGGATACTTTTACAAATACATCACACCCAGACTAGGAACAACAATTTGTGGATGTGCACACAAAGACGTGGCCGGACTGGCTCCCGCGACTCGTTGCGCAGGAGCCAGTCCGGCCACCGCGCCAACCGTGCAGTCGTTTAAGATTTCGTTGTCTTTTAGAATTTGAAGTTCTTACAACAGTGTTGACTATTAACATGATTTTGATATTCTGTTTTGTTTTAGATATTAATTTTTAAATCAAAATATCGTAACATTATTAGATTGCACATTTTATTATTACAGAACGATGTGCAGTTGACCACCCGCATCATACATTACCTATCCTTTTCGGAATAAAGAATTCAGACAAGGACAACGTGATAATGAATGCTAGTGGGCGTGGCCCGGCGAGTGGGCGGGGCAGAGAACAACAGCCGCGTGTAGTGGCCGCGCAGGCCCTCGTACAGGGGCTGCGTACGCGCAGCGAACAACTAAACGTCATTATTACGCAAATGGAGAAGATGTGTGACGGTAAGTATTGCCCAATACTGTTACTATTTGATGTTTTAAAGTTTTACACAAACAATCATCATTGTAATTACCAAAGTCGGTTAGGGCAACTCATATATTTAGAGTTTCTCAAATCCCTCTCGATCTTAATTAAATTCAAAGTAATTTATTTCAATTAGCCCCTTACACGCACTTATGAACGTGAATAAAAACTTTATAGATAAAAATTGTCAGTCTATTGGCCAGTTCTCTTAGTGAACTTATTTTCTCGTTCAAAAGTGTAGATTCCGATGAAGAAGAACAAATAAGAAACTCCATGGTGACTTTTTTTAAATCAGTTTCACATACATAGTCTATGGTACATTATTAAGTTGGTTGGATTATGTGAGAATCAATAAATCGCTTGTTTCTTACTAAGGTGTAACGATCAAATACTAATATTATCTATACTTATTATGAAGAGGTAAAATTTGTAAGTTTGTATGTAATCTTTGGTAATCTTTGGAAACGCTGCCGCGCTGGTCGGATTTCTAAAATTCTTTCACTAATAGAGAGCTACAATGTTCCTGAGTGCTATAGGCTATAAAACATCGCGCTACGACTATATACAGCGGGTGAAACCGCGCGAGAGTAGCTAGTAGTAAATAATAATACAATGAATTTTCAGCTATAATCAGTTTTGCTAACTACGTGCCGACGGCAAAGAAGAAGAAGCAGCCGATTCCCAGCGCAGAGAACATACTTAAACTGCGAGACCTGCTCAAGGTCCCAGTGCCTACCGTCACCCTGCCCATATTTAAACACTGCAACTATGAGGATATTCACAGTAAGATAATTCTATTCTCTTTACCACCAAAAGCCTTTTTGTTGTTTTTCGTCTTCTCTCCTAACTTTGCTGTGCCCTACAGGGTCCATTATGATCTCGACAATATATATAACCTATGTACAAATAGAAAGCAATAAAGTATTAAGGCTCGGCTGGTAGAAAAGGCCTAGGGCATTAACACCCGGTTTCTGAAAGGCTAAAATTAACTAATCTCCTGTTAAATCTCTTGTCAAGTCATCTGATTGGTTGTTGATAATTCAGTCAACCAATCAGATGACTTGACAAGAGATTAAATTGATTTTAACATTGATCAGCCTTTCGGAAACCGGTTGTTAGTCTATCTACGTACCTACCCATTGTGTATGAAGTTTTAATCAATAAATTTATCGTCTGTATTTAGATAAAATTCTGTATTGATTTGCTCGATTAGCAGAATTAAAATTATTCCTACTTTTTTCAAAATTAAATCCCCTGTGGCGTCTGACTGTTTTGCATTTAGTTCTGGTCGTGATAAATTTAAGAAATATGAAGCAAATAGGTTTTGCGCTGTTTATTTTCGTAGATTTCTTAATTTTTTTTTCGTTGCTTTGTGAATATTTTGTATGAGTTTGTTTCTTATTTTTCAGCTCTACGTGCATTTGATAACAACTTCGAGCTTGTTGGCGGTGTTAACTGTCCAAAGAAAATAAACTGCCAAGATAATACTGGAAGAAATCACATTTTACTAATAAAGGTAATAAATATCTTATTTTTATTTTATTTATTAGGGAAAATAATCAATAACACATGAAAGACATACAAAAAGGTTAAATGCATATTTATACCATTGAAACGTGAAATCAACCACATTGTCCACAGATACCACAGATATTTGGTAAATTTATCAAATAACTCGTTGAAAAAGTGACTCGTATTTTTTATATATGATTCATTACCATTTTTTTGTATGCTACCGAAATCCAGGCCGGATCGGTGTTTTATCTACCTAGCTATTATTATTTTTATTTTTGCTACAAATTATGTTTTTTTATACAGGGTGGAGATGATTTAAAACAAGATGCAGTAATGCAACAAGTATTCACTATTGTGAATACTTTACTGGAGAAAAATCCTGTGACTAATAAAAATAAATTGCATATTAGGACTTACAAGGTGAGTTGACCCCTTTCGAAGTAATACAAGTAGTAGCTTGTCTATAATTTGATAATTTTTAGGCATCCATATTTTATTTGTTTACCATATATTTTACTTGTTTAGTAGAAATCTTAAAATATTTTAATTAATATTAAAAATAAAGAAATATTTTCATCTTATGTGCATTTATCTAATATACGTAATATATGTGTGTTGACAGGTGGTGCCCATGTCTCGACTGTCGGGAGTTCTGGAATGGTGTGAAGGCACGATACCTATGGGCATGTATCTAGTTGGCTTGGAAAAAAATAGCGGTGCACATGCCCGTTATAGGCCTCAGGTAAAGATGAAACATTTTTCTGTTGCAAACATGCATAAGTATCGCGTGATGATAAGCAATGCGCGTCGCCTATAGACGCTCGCAGTAATAACATAACAAGAACGATGGGGTTGGGAGGTTAGGAATTGTAGTTTTATATGTCCTATGATTGTTCGGGTTGTGGATGGCGGAAGGGGGAGAGGTGAGGGGCGAGACGTGAACCCTCAGTACCCTCACTCACACAACGCAAGCAGTGTGTTCACACAAGCTAAAGATTAATCGTGATGAGAATACAATATTGTATTGAAAACATTTCACACTGATGTTTGTTTGTTTACCAGGATATTTCTTGTGAAGCCGCTCGTAGCAAAATGATTGAGTCTGCGAACGACAGCCACGAGTCAAAGTTGAATGTGTACAATAAGATAGTGAAGTCCTTCAAACCCGTGTTCCACTATTTCTTCACCGAACGGTATCTTGATCCGGTCACGTGGTATGAGAGGAGATTGGCCTACACAAAGAGGTAATTTTATTTTGTACGTCGGCAATAAAAAAAGACCCTAACGTAAGCCTCTGCTTTGCCAGCCTCTTAAATTGTTTGGCGAGAGGAGGGGGGAGGTATTTAGTGATATAAAATACTTAAAACAAAACATTAGTTAAGCCTTCCAACTGGAGCTGTTAACTGATTATATTGACAAAAAATATTATCCTTATTGTTAAAGTAATTTTATTAGCGCCCGTTTCCGCATGGCTTTTACAAGTGCGTGCTGTTTCATAACCCATCTATAGGCGTCTTCTGTGAATGGACTACTTAACACAATTTTCACAACCTAACAACACATTCAATGCCAACCAATTAATAGATAAGTTCTGGAGATAATTATATTTCAAATATTTATATTGTTTGTTAACTGTAAATAACATATTAATATTTGTCTCATAATACCAAAAAAGTTACAAAATTAAAATGTTTTCTTTTTTTTCTATCTCTATAAATTTTTTTCAACTATACGTTGTGGAAACAACTGTATTTAATCTACATATTAATACATCACCTGTAATGATGTGTCATTGTTAATTTACAGAATTTTAACTAACAGTTTTTACGTTTTGTCTTTTCTAGTGTCGCGACCTCTTCCATGGTTGGCTACATCCTTGGACTTGGCGATCGACATGTGTTCAACATTTTAATTGACAGTAGGACGGCTGAAGTGATCCATATCGATTTAGGTAATTTAAATTTATTTATTTATTTCTACATATTACTTTAAAATTGTTAAAGAAGACTCATAAAGTTGATTACTATTATTCGTCTTAAGAACATTTGGGGGTTCCGTTCAGAGTTTTCAAGACCAAAATTAGAACTAAACCAACTACTTAGTTTATCCTTTTATACGCAATATATGTACATCTAATAAAATTGTATCGATGTATTCTTAAAATCTAGTGTTCATAAGGCAGTATAATTTTGTTTAGAACCTGGAATGGCCTTTGCTTGCCTCTTGTGACAATATTCTGAAATAGTAGCATTTTAAAGTTTGCTAAAATTATTAATTTTAGATATCAACTTTGATTAAAATCGTTCTTATAGTTTCCATAAATTATTTTAGACTTGAGAGTTGTTGGGAATCCTGATCTTAAGGACATACATATACCTACGCATTACGCGTTCTTAAGTGAAACTAGTAGTTAAATACAAAAATATTTTTCAGGCATTGCTTTTGACCAAGGAAAGACTTTGCGCACTCCTGAGACTGTGCCGTTCCGGTTGACCCGCGATATCATTGCCGGCTTCGGATGCAGTGGTACCGAAGGAATATTTAGAAGGTAAAAGTTATCACTTTTAAAAAGGTTGGCCCTACAACAAACCTACAGACTGACACCAATCGTATAAGGTTTCAGAGAAGAGGTTAAAGAATTCATTTCTACATAATGTTTAATCTTTATACAGGTGCTGCGAAAAGACAATGCAATTACTTAGAGATAATCAAGAGACATTGCTAACAATACTAGAAGTTTTGTTATGTGATCCTCTATACTCGTGGTCTGTTAAAACTGCGCAACAAAATGCTCCTACTTCAAGCAGAAATACCAGTACAGTCTGTAAGTATTTAAAAATATTTAAATATTGAAAATCAATTCATTGTTTTTTCCTATATAGTCGACAAATTTACTTTCCCCTTCCCCAATCCCAAAATCTCCTAATCCCTAATCCCCAAAAGGTCGGCAACGATTCTTAACTGCTCTGTTCTTGCGGGTGTCCATGGGCGGCGCTGATTGCATACATAAAAAAAATACATAACCTCGCTTAACCTACTACATACGTCATTGACTGCCGATGGATTACAGTTGAGGGCAAATCCTCCGTTAGCGTGGCCCACATGTTGTCCCCCATGGCGTTCAACGAGTTAACCTAGTACATACGTCAGGGTTTCTAAAATAGGTTTTTTTTGTAACCAGTAGAGTTCATAGATATGATTATTCTAGGTGATACCGGCACTCCCAGCGGCCTAGCAAAGCGAGCGCTGCTGGTAGTGACGAGCAAGCTGAGTGGAACCGAAGACGGCGTGGCGGGCGGCGTGGCGGTAGCAGGGCAGGTGGCGCGCCTTCTACACATTGCCACAGATCCGTTCAACTTATGTCGTCTGTTCCACGGCTGGCAACCCTATTTGTAATCGTTATTGTATCTTATTATATTATTTTTTTAATTATATTATTATTGTAAATTGTTTCATTTGATTCTTAGAATACAGAACAAACCAGAATCCGCGTCCACTCATTGTTGTGTGTCAACTAATCAGCCGCACCCCGCGTAGTATTGCCGACAATGGAACAAGTCCCATGTTTTGGGGTAATTTTAAAACACGAGGGAAACGGTGTTTGCCTAGAAATATATAGGTAATTACGATAAATACAACAGACTAGTTGTTCACACATTGCATGCAGGTGTAATAAAAGTTGATGAACACAACAAATAAAACAAAGGTTCAATATGTAGGTACAAAGGTTTTATTACGTTCCCTTTTGCTTTTATACTGAACCACAGACTGAACTGATTTGAAGAATTTTACGCTTAGACAAATAATGTAACCTAATATCCAGATATTTCTCAATACAAGATTATTTCTGTGGGTGTGTCCATTTAGGTGGTCATTGATAACAGGAAATATATTATTTTTGCCTATAAACTGTTGGAAAATTGACTGTACGATGATTAAACGTTGAATATTTGAACTTATTAATAAATTGTCATTTGAAATCTGTCTCACGCGTACTAATCATAAACACTCTGAGAAGGAAAGTACAGTCCACATGTATTTTTTAAACCAATAAGTTTATAAAACTATAAAACATTGGATGCCAGCATTGCGTCTACACAAAATGAACACTATTGATCTTGACAAATAATAAGCAACAGATCCTGATATGTATCCTACAATGTATTTAGTCAAATCATGTAGCTGAGGCAGTTCAGTAGACAATAATTTTGCAATACCTACTGCCACCGTTTTCGGTAATAGCTAATAATCCTTCATTATTAATCTGTTCATCATCTTCGAATTTCCATAAATATTCTGAGGAGTTTATTGATTTGCTCAAGGATGAGCAATTTAATATGCCTATGTTTTCTAAATGTATACAGTTTCCGCTGTCGGAAGCTTTAAGTTCCAGGTGGTATAAAACATGTGAACGGGGTCCAATAAAACAGCTATATCGGATTGGTCTACTGGGAGTTTAAAAGTAGTCTTCAGCTCATTTTCGTAGTCCAATTTACATCCTAACAGCTTCATTGTCGTTAAATTGGTAGAATGTCCATCGAAAATTCAGGAAACCACTTTCACGTAAAAAAATTAAAGTAAGGCAAAACTTTTTTATCTTGGTAGTGTACTTGAGTTTCTTTTTATTCAAAACGCTTCTTTTATACGCGTTATTAAATAGATCAGCTGCAACTACATCTGTTGAAAGAAGATCGTAAACGTCATCGTTTAAATGTAATGAAGCGGTTGTTTTTTAAATTCCTTAATATGCATTTTAAGGATTCGTATTTCTTGGCAAGTCGTTTGTGTTTTTGTTGTAAAGTTTTCAGTCGTCGAACATGTCGCTCACAAATAATTTGTTTTCGACGTAATTGAGATTTAAGTTTAACTTTTCCCGGAGAATCAAATATCGATTCCACATCCGAAATATCACTAACCGCTGTAGGTGATTGTGGCTGCGCAACCTGAAATTGAAACCCTGAAGTTTATCACGAAAAATAATGTTTTGCATCAGTGAATGGCATTATCTCTATAATATAAATGTAGGTACTAGCTGACCTGGCGAACTCCGTACTGCCTTAAATATAACTATTAGTCAAATCGGTAAAGGCATTGTTGAGTTATAATATATTACAACAAAAAGTAGCATTGGAAATTATGTATAAGTATACAATATACAATATGACATATATTCAGTTTAAAACCTTATAGGTACCCACATTGTCTGATGTTGAAGACTTAGATTCGTCCATTTGTAACTCGCCAAATTCTGGTGACAATGCCAAATGCTGCAATAAAAGGTACTGTTAGAATATTTATAAGTTTTTTTATAAAATCCGAGCCTATGCTGGTTTTAAACATTGAAGCGCATACATATGGACAGAAAAAGCACTTTGTTTAATACTGTGTAGTGCAATGAAATTATAAGTAAAATGGTATAGATAGGTTACATATAAACAACATTTGATTTTCTAAAACGGCACACTTATGCACACATAAATAAATTGTATGATACACGTTAAAGTGGGATGGCATGATTCAATAATCGCGAGTGAAAAAGAGACAAATATGAAAAAGTGTGGCTAGTTAGCCACATTTTAATGTATCACTTGCTGAGCGCTTGTAACCTATCTACTTATAATGTCATTGATGTAGTGATAGAAAACATATAATTTGAATAAATTCATTATTATGATAAAATTTGCGGTCCGCCTTGGCTTTGCCCGTGGTACATACGTAACTAGCACACACCTTAGCTATCTATTGGTGAAGAAGTTTTGAAAGCTGACCAGTACTTAGTTCCTGAGATTAGCCTTAGCTAGCAAGCAAACAAACAAACTCTTCTAGTATAGGTATACCTTAGTAGGAATTGCTGTTTTCTTCAGTCTTTTCAAACCACATTTTGTGTCATAAATATACTGCTCTTCGAAGTGAATTGAGCATATTACGCTGCGGCTACATGGTTTCCAAAATTCATCTACTCGTGCCCTTTGTATTATTTTGATCCATTTAGATTTTCTCTGTTCGTCAGCAGGAAAACTAAAATGACAAAGGTACCATAATGGACAAAAATACCTACTACTCACAACAAATAAATAAATGGGTAAATTTTTCACCAAAAATGACAAAACTCAAAAAATGGCCGCCTCATTTCCATAGAAAAATAAATCGTAAAATTAAATTCAATAATTAATTAAATATACTATTGCAGACGATGCTTACAGGTGAAATGTAATCCCATCAGCTTTCTTCATAAATCCAGCTGCATTTTTACACGTAGGAACAACACAGGACGGCATAATAAAATTAAAATTGATATTGTGACACTACGTCATGACATGCCACGTGCAAAAAGTGACTGATCGTACAAATTTCAAACTATTCGAATGAAGAGTGGATTTAGTCGCTTCAATATGAAGCGCGTCTTCGGGTTTGTTCTGTATTCTGAGATTTAATTATATCTGTGATTCAATAATTATTGTAATACAATGAAAATAAATTATCAGTTTTTATTCTTATACATTTTGTTTTAATTTAATGAATTATAGAATCTGTTAAAGGCAGTTTGTGAATGAGTACTCCGGACCTCCTCACAGTGAGTCCTCATTCGGGTTTCGGATCTTTCTTTTAATACCCCAATCCCCGCCGATTGTCTACCATCAGATAATAATCCGTGGGCTCGTTTGCCGACCTTGTCACATAAAAAAGACCAACAGGAAGCTATAGAGAGCCCACAACAGCGGTGTGCCCTCAACGAAGCAATTGGCGCTAGCGACCTCTCGCACTCGGCCTTGGTCCTGGCTATAGTGCAGAGCAAGAGGCACTTGGGAGCCGTTTCCTTGTACGAATCAGTCAAGTTTGCTAAGAACGAGGCGGAGCACGTGCGATGAAATGATATCTCTCTCACTCAATGACTATGTATGTATGATATTTAGGGTGGCTGGTCGCTCTACCACAATCCAACGAGGTATTTCTTTTTTTTTGTATTCTGATATCTGGAAGAACATTGTGGATCAATCGTGATCGAGGTAACAAATTAGTTTCTATTTTGTTGCACCAGTCCAGTAATAACACATAGGTATGGCAACATTCTGTGACGACTGTCTCTGATGGTTGTTGGCAGTTCAACAACCATCTGTCAAAGTTTGTTGCGGATTGCGTTACCGTGGTAACGAAGTTTAACAACAAAAATGTAAGAATTTTATATTCTCGTTTAATGGTATAAGTACAAACAATTGCGGTGTTATCTTTATTTGCTATTAATGATTTCTCATGGCAGAATTGCATATATTAGGGCAACTACAGTGTGCATCAAATTTTCAAGATAATTCTTTATTTTGTCGATACTCATTTCAAGCCGGTAATTATTCGTCCAGATTATGTAATAAAGAAGATGAAAATATGTGCAACGGTGTTTTAGTTAAATTCATGTTTCTTGTAAATTTCAGGTCCAAACTGGACAGTAGTTTCAGGGTGCCCCGAGGGGCAGACGGTGACAGGTAAACTAGATCACGACAAAACGGTCGTCTGGTCACATCCTCTTGATATTCACTACGTAACTAAAGGGGTGCAAGGTGCGTATTTAGAACAAAATATTTCTTGCATAATGTTTATTGTAAACACATGTCATATCTATTATATATATCTGTTTTAAATCAGGTTGGCCGAAATTATTAGTCCAAGTGAGCTGTCTCGATTCTATTGGACGATCCTGGATAGTAGGCTATGGTTGCTGCAGTTTGCCAGCCGTTCCTGGGCATCATACCATCCAAGTAAACTGTTGGGTGCCAGCAACAACTTCAGTAACTGATAGAATCCGACAATATTTTTTAGGAGGGTCTCACCAGCTTGTTCAAAGTGATATAGTTAATTTAGGATTAAACAGGTGAGAAATCTTATAAGGTTTCTGTCTAAAACATCAATAAGTTATAAAATGTAAATGTTTTTTTTTTATTTCACAGGTTTAAGTTAAAAACTCAATCAAAAGGGTCAGTTCAGTTGCAAGTGACCTTACTACTTAGGAACTTTAGTCAGTTTGGTGTAGAATATAAGTGAAAAATGAAAGTCATTACCTATCTGGCCTTTACATTTTTGTCAATACTCATCCAGTTTTGTGTTATGGATTATATTCAAGAGAAAATTCAGACTGAAGAACTATTGAATCTCAGTGTAACTACGCAGAAACAAATCTTAAATGATTTATTAAAGAATATCAGCAACAAACCTCATGCTCTATACTACAGGACTCTCACAAGTAAATCACTGAAAAAAGTCTCTCCATCAAAGCTGTATAATAACTCCACCATGCCAGATGTGTCTATAGGAACAACAGATGGATCTACAACTGTATTTGATGTTTTGTATGATGAAAATACTTCTGATATAGAAGTAGCTACTTCAACCACTGAAATGTACTACACAAGCACTGAATTTGACAATATTACAGAAATAACATTCTTTGAAACCAAAAATAAGTCATCTAGTGTACCTAGTCACAAACCAAAGTTTAGTCATAATATGCCTTGCGAATGCAACTTATTGGTAAGACAATTATTGTATTTGCTGGATTTTTATAGAAACAACAACAATAGAAGTCAAATTTTTCTATAATGTTTTTGTTGCAGTATAAAGTGTGTGATATAAATTGCTGTTGTGATGAAGATTGTTCTGATACTCATTATAAACTGTTTCAATGCCAAGAGCCCAGCAAGGGAGATCGAAAATCGGTAGATGGGTGTGTGACTCATTTATTGGATGAGCAGAAGTATGGAGGCAGTATGCTTGACGATTTGTTTTGTATTGTCAAGACCAATTTACCAAGTAAAAGGAACATTAAAAAGGCAAGTTAGAATATTTTATCAGGCTATTTACTTAATTTGAAACGAGTTTGATAATTTATTTACAGTATATGTTTATTATAGTTTGATGAAGCTCCAGGTGTTTATTACAAATGGGAAAGCTCGTATAAGAAACATCATTTATATGAATTTAAAAAAGCCTTGTACAAGCGGGGTGATCCCATATGGATATTGAAAAATGGAATAATTTATTATTTAGGTAAGTATATTGTTAAACTGTTCTTATAATAATAATATATACCTTTATATCTTGGGTAAAATTCTAAATGTTATTATTTATTTACAGATTTCCCAGCATCAATGATGAATAGTTACTGTACGGATAGAGTGCCTATAACATTCCTTAAAGAGGAGAAAATGACATGTAATGTTAAGCTTACAGATTTAGAAATGTTTAATATTTTAAAAACTTCAGAAGAAGCTATGGTTATTAGTGCTACTAACAACACAATTAATAGTACTACTTTGGTATGCATTGCTTTCTAACTATCAAACCGTGCTCACGGCCTCAACTAAGGCTTCCCAGGTTAGGTGGGAAGACATTCCTCAGATAACAGTAGTTAAAGTTACTGCATTTCTGTGCAGTAACTTTTTACCGAATTGTATCTGTTCAGTGCCTACTTTGATTAATTGATCAATGTGTAACATTTTATTAGTAGGTTTAGTTATGGAAGGATGTCACTAACAATGTTTAATGAGGTGGTTCATTTGGGCTTAAATATGTTCATATTTTACCTTTAGAAGTTCTATAATCATCTGCATGTGTAGCACTCCAGATAACACTATTTACTATGACGAGATGAAAATATATGTAGAAAAAACCGGGCTAGTACACCACACCTCTTTTTGAGGAGGGAAAATAAAATCATCAAATAACTTCTCTCTTCTAGGGTATATCGAGTGTTAGTGCTAGACTCTTACTAATATACTTCCTGTCCCGCGTTCCTTCTTTCGAGGCCGGGGTAATTTATTTCGCGCTTACGGTGGCCGTAAATCTATGTATGTTCGACGCCTGGATTTACGCCTACTGCGTGCGGCGGCTGGAGCTTGAAGAGGAAAGTACGATACGCTCCACCTCCTCCTTTGCGAGCAGCACTCGCAGAAAGATTTTCCAGTTCCTTTCGCTTCGCATCACTAAGGCTCGACGCGAGATGTTGCCGTCGCCGATAACTTTTCTTGAGAACACGTCGGTGTTCAGCCCAAGCAGTCACATCTCCACCGATCTATTGTGTGCTCAGTCTGGTCATAACAATGACGACACCACACCCTGAGGTCGTTTTCTAATTTACTAATATTGTTCCCTACACGTTTTTTTCAGAATTGCACAACTCTCCATTGTATCAATTGGACCATCCTTATGTGTGAAAATGGATTCTGTAAGAATTACAATAAAACTCAAAATGAGGCATCCTGCACAGAAGAAGTTTGTACCAACATTGCTTTGAAAGTTGAATACGAATTCTATTATTACGATTTTAAGATTATGAATGCGACTATAAAATTACACGTTCAAAATATTTCGAATGCTTTGCCATTAATGATGCAAGAAGTCAGAGTACATTTTTATATGGCAAAAGGGTCTATAGAACACGTAATAGAGTTAAGTGGCAATCTAGGATACATCAATGGCCTTCCGGTAATTGCATCATATGCTGGTAATAATTACACCGAACACTTTTTTAATAATACTTCGGAAATAAGAAGCCTTATTTTACCAGAGAACAGAAATGGACTGTGTGTTCGAACAAATACATCAAATAATTTTGCAAAATTTGGGGTGAACAAAAGGACCAAGTGTCGCTATACTTATTCACCTAAGAACAAAACAAAACAAAAATTATGCAACAATATACAAGCGGATATTTATAAACTGCTGAGATTAAACAATAATATATCGATATCCCCATTCGGGAACCCACAAGATATCACTGATGACAAATGGTTACATTTGGAATTAGACAAACATAACTTGGAACCTGTTTATGGAGATTATAATGAAAACACTTTTAAACTTTACTGTTATAATTTAATTAACAGACTCTCTATCACCTTCATGTACGCTAAGGTTGACGAAAACAGTCACACAGAACAGAACAAAATTGTTTCGGCTAAGTACGAAGCCACTATGGATAATTTAACTTTTAGTAGTGAAGACATTTCATTCGTTATTACTATTGATATTAATTTCGTGGATCTATCTAAGCCAAGTGATATTGAATATGCTGGAGGTCCACATATAAATATTCATCTACCCAAAGATTTTTTCTTCCCCTTCCCCCAAAATAGCTGTACTCCCCTGGTCAACACATGCTTTGTAACAATATGCTGTTATGTTATGTTATTTTTTGCAAATAAAATAACTCTTGGATAATAACTAATAATTTTTATTTTGAAATAATTTAAATACTTTTGTTACTTCTATCACTTCTAACTTGGCATCCCCTTCAAGGACTTAACGATCTTGAGTTTGTGGTGGCCTGAAAATAAAACCCATTTTAGGTTCAATTAGACCACGTTAACCCAAACTTGCTAGATAAGAAGTAGCGATATTCAAGAGGCAAATGAGAATTTAATAAAACATAGTGTTATAAAGGAAGTTTTTAATATAGCCGCATCAAGTAAACGAGGTAAACTATAATAGTACATGACGTTAGGGTACTAGAGCTATATTGGTATTTACAATATTTTTACATAATTAATCTTCACAGAGTAGTCTAATAAAATATAATGAAAAGCAAAGGAGACAGTAAATATAAACTGAAGCTGCTTTTACACAATCGATCGGAGCAATGTGGAGATGTCGCTACAAACCTATGCGACGTAAGTGTAGACTTTGCGGTCGTCAGGCGTGCGAGCGAGGTACTCTCGTTCAATGAGCCCTTCGATGCGTTTCTTGATGACCACTGGCGACGGTAGGAAACGTGCACGTAATTGTTCTGTTACTTCGGCGACCAAGAGCGTATGCTGTAATAAAATAATGATGCAATTGTAAATTTAGCAAACATTACAACATGAGTTATTGCGTAAAAGTAATAAAAACATACCGCCATCTTCTTCCTGGCCTTCATGATACGCACGATGGCTGCTTCAATTTCATGTTTACGGTCTTCATCTACTTTGTTACGTGTTTCACGTCGCTCTGGTTCAGATTCGCCTTTAGCTGCTACAGTCTGGATCTTAACTCTAAAAATCATATTACATTTTTTTATTACTTTTTTTCCTAGCAAACAAATTAAGTTCCAAAAAGTAATTTCACACACCTATGTAACTTAGAAGTAAAGGCATCATTCACGTAGAATTGATGAGATGGCTCTATCTCTTTAGTCTTCGGTTGCTTGATAAGCACCCTCTGCGTCGGTTTCCCCATCGCTAGCGACTGCAGGGCCCGGACCAGATCTTTCTCCGGAATATCAGTCTCGTTGAGTATTTCCTGGAATGATACAACATGATTGTTATCCTCCCGTTGAATGTAGGTACATATATAAGACAGAAACATTCTGTTAATTGTTGTCTAATAGTAAAAGTTGTCTAATATACAAAGAAGGTCACGCACGAAGGACAAGCAAGTCTATGGGTTGTTAGTATTTGTTAGTGATGACTATTTATTGAGTTGCATTTTTTATATTCTCACACTTGTAGACATTTAGTTGCTTCATATCTTTAAACATTAAAAGAAACAATAATAATTGAGAGATTGGCGTATTGAAGTTAGTAAAGTTTATAACAGAAACATAGTAATCACATACCTCATAAGTGAGTCGTTCGCGCTTGTTGAACAGTAGAAGGACGCACATCTGGAAGGTGGAGACCTGTATGATGTGACGGCGCGGCGCGGCGGGGGCGGGCGGAGAGCGCGGCGGGGACGACGCGGCCGCGCGGAACGTCGCGTTCAGGTCCGCGGACCCCAGCTGGGGCTGCAGCGACAACTGCCGCCCCGAGTGCTTCGCCAGGTAGAAGCTGACACACAACATTCATAGGTTCATACATTATCACACCTCAACTCCCAATATTTAATTTCAAACTTAGATTAGAGATGAGAAAGCATACATAATATTGTTATGATGGCTCATTGAAGTCAGCTTAAACAATATTATACCTTCTGAAAACTTCAAACGCATTCCGCGGGGCTGTTGGGATGTTGCACTTGGGCGTCGCGCTTTGTGTTGGCCAGAAGCCAGTTGTAAGGACACGCACTGAGAGGTCCACACCATGTAAGTTGATCTGAAATAATAAAATGCTTTTTATAGAAATCCTTGAGAACAAAGCATGACCTTCTGATCCGCGAGTGGAGCTGCAACTTACAGTCAGCTTCGTTTAAACTATACGCGGCGGCACTAACACCACAAAAATATAATAAATAACAAAGATTCACCCCGGATGACATCACATGTTCCTTGAATTCTTCCATTATGGTGTTTGAGACAGTCATGTCTTTGAACATTCCTTCCAGCTTTGATGTAAACTGACAACCGCATTCAGTCTGAAATAGCAAACAAATGGGTTTAAAAAATATGTTAAATCCAGTATTCTCTACTTTTTTAACTACTAATAACAATACCAATTTGTATTTATGTACAACAATTTAGTTTTATTTATACATTTATTTTGCAACTTGTGTTATTATATTTTCTGCATACTAATATACAATAGGTATACTAAACTAAATGTAACAATACTAGAATTACTCCTGCTTAAAGTCTCAATCCTCTGCAAAATTCTTTACCTAAACCATTTTTGAAAATAAATATTAATTTTGAAAAAGAAGCAAAAAATATATTTTATTGCATCCCAAGACTTTAAGCAGACTTTTTACTATAGAAAAGAACTACCAGAGATGTACTAGGCATTGGGACACTTACGAAAAATGTCCATTTATAATTGGTAAAGAATTTTGCAGAAATATGTGGGCAGGATGGGGAGGTCAGATGGATTGTTCTATTAATCACTTATGGAATTCTCTATTTGCGAGACATCTCCGATTATACAATGAAAATCTCGCGGCTCAACATCCTTAAGTAAACCTTCTTTCTGGGAAAGGTTAGAAACCAAAATACAATGTTTCATTTTCGTCTCTAGGTAAGGTTATCAAAGAACTTGATGCAACAGCAGAATGAGATTGGGACTAACCTTCAGTTTCGAGATCATATTCTTCTCACTGTCATCGGAGACGGATTTGTTGAGTAACAATCGCTTAGCCAAGTGCTGCTTGTAGTAACGCTCGAACACATCCTTCTCTTGCAAGAATCTGAACAACACCATAGTTTTATCCAACACAGCTTCGATTTCTTGTTCACTCATCTGGAAAGCAATGTACATACATGTTAGCACAATATTATATATGTCGCAGGGATATGATAAAATCAGGGATTTGGCCAAATCCCTAAGGGATTTGATCAAATCACGGAGGATGTTAAAATAACAACACGTTTTTATCATTTCCCTAAGCAAATCTAGTGATTTGAACAAATCACTAAATTTATTTAGTGAAATGATAATAAAACATGTCCAGTTCTTGTTTACGAAGTGTGGGAGAGCCATGCTTCGGCTCGAATGGGTCGGCTCGACCGGAGTGATACCACGGCCTCACAGAAAACCGGCGTGAAACAACCACAGCGTTGTGTTTCGCCGTGTGAGTGAGGTTACCGGAGGCCCAATCCTTCCCCTCCCCCAATCCCTCCTCAATCCCCAAATCTCCAAATCCCTAATCCCTAAATTGTCAGCAACGCACTCGTAACTCCTCCGTTGCTTGCTGATTGCTTGAGAGACTAAAACAGTACGGTAAAAGAAATACTTACGCCTTTTTCGCCCTTCTTTAGCTTCCCATCAATGAACAGCGATAAAAACTCTGGAGATTTGCTGTTCAAGTTGAGGAAGTATTCAAAGTCGGATGCAATCATGTGTTTGAAAATCTTGTCATTGTTAAAGGAATTTTGAAGGAAATGGTCAAATCTATCCTTCAGGTCGAGAAGATTCTGTAACAAGAGAAATCACATTGGTCATCAGTCATTACTTGGGAAATGCTATATGAGTAATATTTAGAGTATAAAAAGCCAAAAAAGTACCTGCACGAATGTGATGGCGTTAGTGTTGTGGTGCGTGTCGGTGACGAGGGCGCGGCCCTGCTCGCGCAGATGCGCGGAGACAGCGTCGGCGACGGTGCGCAGCCCCTCCGCCACCCGCGACAGCAGCTTGTACACGCACGCCAGCTCCAGCGTGCGCGTGTGCATCAACATGTGCACCACGCCCGAGTTCTCCATCTGATGATCAGGAAAAGAGCCATATGAGAGCCAGAGCCTTGAGAGAGAAATGAACACGATGGGTCACCTGGTATAATGCCATAACATTACGCTTGTTGTTATATTTTTGCTATGTGACTCAGGTATACCGTAGGCCAATACTTTCGCCCATCTCCAAATCCCCAAAAGATCAGCAGCGCATTCCTTCGGTACCTACTGCGAGTACACTTTGGCAACAAAAATGGTTAACCATCAGAGATGATGCGTATACCCATAGGCCGAACTATCCCATAAAAAAGTTTACCTCAACGATGGTCTTCATATGTCGCTCGATGAGCTCGTGTTCGAGGACCGCGACGACGCGTGGCTCGGTGCTCTCGTCCAGGTAGTGACGAGCTCGCTCAGCTTCTTCAGCGATGCGGGCCTCAACACGGTTTATGTAAACCGCTGCGCTATTTTCCGCCAGGAATTTTTGAGATTCCATCTAAAAACAACCATATTCATTCTATGTAAAATAAACGATTATACTTATAAGTAACCAGTATAACCAGTATACCGTTGCAGTAACCAAAATAACCAGTATACCGTTTGAAATTTTACTCAGTACCGCGGCTGCTGTTAAACTTATCGAGATGTATTATATATTATCGAGGTGTATTTCATTCAAACACAATTTGTAATTGCAAAGAAATTGACAAAACATTGAATTGTCGATTCATTCATCTATTTATGAATAAAAGCAGTTAGCTATAATGGATTATTCTAGTATGACCTTAGGTTGATTATGTTTGGTAAAGGTTACATGCAGATCAATAGATTAAACACTATCAGGTTAATCAGCTGTTGAATCCACCTGTCTAAACACATAATAAAGCAATATTATTATGGCAGTATGCCCAAGAACATTATTACTTTGATTGCCAATTTTGTTTGGCTGCTATTTGAGTTATCATTTTGTTTAAGACTTACCCTGTAAAACTCGGAAGACTGATGCAGGAACGGCTTCTCAAAATCTTCCTCGTAAACGGCGCGTGAGTTGATGCCGAGCACCATGAGCATCTGGCAAGCGTTGCGTATCGCCAGCCGGTCTACTACTTCACCACGACGTTCGCGGGCCACTAGCTCTAGCAGTGTCTGACGTAGGTGGTCACGGATGCACCCATAACGAACAACCTTAGAACAAAATTTTACTGCTTTGTTTTAAAATAATTTTGAAAGTTCTTGATAGTTGTACTTCATGTATAAATAAATACAAAAACAATTGAAATGGTTGTACATTATAATTAAATAGCTGTTTGTTCACTTACCTGGTCTCTAAATATAATAAGTCCCAGATTGTAAACATTGTCCACCTCATTTTGTTGTACATATACCCTGTCCATGTACATTAGTATGTCTCGGATCATGACCATACTAGTTTGATGGTCTGTCCAAGCATTGTTGAGGGTCTGAAGGAATCCATTGTGTAATGAGTGCAGGACATCTTCCCTGACCTAGAAAATATTATAATGGATATTGTAATGTTTATGAATTATAATGTTTACATCATATGCTTGACAAACATGTGCATTCATAAAATCATGCTAAAGTTTTTACCTTTGTCTCGAGATGTTGAGTGACCACTTCTTTCAATCCAGTGTAAAGTCTTTCACCATGTTTGTGGAGGACCATGGTATAAGCATTGCGATAAAGTTCCTCAAAGGATAGACCCGAGTTGTTCTTCTTTTGTATTTCCTGTATCGCATTCTTTAGTAAACTCCATATGCTCTCCACATACTTCTCATCCATAGTCATCTGTAACATAGATGCAATATGTTGTTTATTATTTACATCTTATTATGAATACGCACTGGAACAGTTCCTTATAGCATAGTGAGTATGCCATACAGACCCAAGTGTCTGGATACATTTGGTAATATGGTTCGGAATAGTTCCACACTTGAAATTTTCTCGTCATCTTGAAAATTAATTGTTTACAGTCTTATACAAACATTGTACAAAATTAAAATATAAGTTCAAAAACATTTAATATATATACTATGAAAAAATACGAATGTTTATCTTTTGATTGATTTTCACTCCTGTCATCAAAAATATAATTATGACATAATGATTACAAAAATTTTGTTCTAAAGTAAAATAAATTGCTTTCTATTTTTAAATCAAATTGACAGTTAAATCATCTAAAATGTTACCATTTTATAAAATGTAAAATAAAAACTTCTTTGTTTAAAACTCTGAACTCTGAATGATTTGTTTTTAAACAAATTGGAAATTCCAATGAGACCATTTTGTTAGAAACCATCTCCCATAAATTTTACATAACAAACAAATAAATACCTACTAAATCTGTGTTAGTTATAGTAATTCTTAGTTGCATAAGTTAAAGACTACATAACAATGCTGTTTAGAAGCCAATAAAATGGTTTTTCTTATTATGCATAGACTATAAGCTAAGGATTTTTCCATCTTTAGACTTAAGTTAACCTAAAACTAATTTCAGTTTATTTTTTAATTATTTGCAGGTAACACAGGAAAGTGTGTCAAGTTCAATTATCACTGAATTTCATTAAAAATCAGATGATATGTGTTAGATGTGATGAGTCATTGGTTTAAACTTATTATCAGAGTTTTATACAGAGGTAAAAATACAATAATGAGGAATGTGTGCACAATAATGGTCCATGCATAAAGATAACACTACACTTCCTATCTAAAAACTATGATGAAATGTTTCAAATTGCATGTGGAGTCATAGCATAGAGCTTTATCATGAAAGTTTACAAAAGCATAAACATTTTTTGAAGGTAATTTTCAAAATAATCCATACTATTGTGTAATTATTAGCAACATTGAAATATCGAGGTAGGGACTGGGGATAGACAAATAAATACATTTATTTATAGCAGCCGATAGCTTGTGTGCGAGCATTGATAAAAATGATAGACAGAGTGACACTTACTGGGAATGCTCGGATCCTCATTTTGCCAGGTTTGTCCTTAGGTAACGTACTCTTCATCATTGCGGCTACAATATTTTGTACCAACGAAATACTACACAATTAAAGAAGATTTGATCACTGTTCATTTGTTGTTGCGATAACACATCGTTACTCTCATTTACACCTGCAAAGAGAGTTTTAGTAAACAACTAAACACAACGAATAATGCAATTTGCCTTCAATAAATCCGCACTTCACTGAGTCGCCACCATGTACTTATTACGATAATAGAACTGTTTATTATTTATCAGATAGTATATTTACAAATTATAATGCAAATTCAGGAATCTGCTCTAGTAGGTGTCAATTAAAAATAATAAATTCTGAGACTCCAGTCATATTTGTGAATAGTCTTATTGACATTGACAGTTAAAATATCTTTCATCTCTCTCTCTCTCGTGTAAAAGCTCGTATACAATAGCGCCACCTCACGTTTTAAGGGTGACGTTCTTTTTTGATTTCCTTTTCTCTGCAATGGCTATTATTATTCAGATGCGAATAAGCACTTTAAGCAAGGATGTATTAACTTACAAGTAATGAGATTATCCACGGCTAGCTTGGTCACAAATATTTCACTATCGCAATATTTATAGTACATGTATTTTTCTGCTTTAGCATGCCTATAAGATTCTTCAATTGTTTCAGCTTTCTGACCAGACCATAAACAAATCTGTAATGCTTATGCTTTTATTTACTTTTTCGGATTTTTAGTTTGAGCATTGATCTTTTGAGTTAAACGTGTGATCATTATTTTGCTATCCCAGTCTGTATGTAACTTATAAATTGACTCAAGATTAATATAAACACCTGAAAATAAGTGATTGTCGAGTAAGAATTTACTTATATAGTATTATACATTTTCGTTGTTGCGCAAAATTAACTTTTGTTATTGATATTCATATTCCTTATAATATAAAATAGCGAGATCATATTTTAAGGTGATGTGTTATTATTTATTAATCTTAAATATTAAAATTTAACTCTCTTAGCGGAAAAAGGTTTGTTTGGAAACTAAAACTCGACGAAGGTAGGTTTAAGATTTAAAATCTAGGGCTTATTACGAGTAAGTATATATATTATGCCTACCTACCTATAATTTTATGCTTATTAATTTATATCTTCATCACTTGGTTCCTAAATCTTATAATTTCTAAGTAAACTTTAGAAGATACACAAGATACAAATCTGTCAGTAGTATGCCGCAGTCAAGGAAGATGGCGCTACTTGTTATAACTCAATTTACGAATAAGGTTTCGCGGCCTCGGTCTGCAGCAGGAGAAGGAACGTGGGAGTCTTACCCAGTAAGAGCCTGACACTCCCTCTCCCCATACACTTGCGTGAGTAGTAATTTGATGATTGACTTCTCCTGCCTAGAGTGGGGCGGGAGGGAGTGTCAGACTCTTACTGAATAAAAATCCCCACGTTTCTTCTCCTGGTTTAGGCCGAGGCCGCGGTGACATATTGCACTTGCCCCGCAACACCGGCTGAACATCAGTCCTATAGGGCCCCGTCTGAGGTGGTCTATTGGCTGTTTAAGGTGCGAGCAGAATGCGACGCGCCGTACGCTCGAGTCTGGTTCTGATCGGACGGCGAGCTACCCTTATCCGCCGTCCATAGACCCGCGCTTACGTTGGCCGCAGATCATCTCTCAATCCCCGACGCCCGGTATGTCGCCTACTGCGGCGGCTGGGGAGTTAGGAGGATAGTTTCCTCACGCGCTCCGCCTCCTCCTTAGCAAGCATCACTGCTCCGCAGAAAAAAGAGACTTCCCAGCTCCTCTCGCTCTAAACTATGACCTCGACTATAGGTATTAATAATGCCTACTACCTTAATTGAGGTTTTTAGCTATTTTAATGGGATATATCGAAATACGACCTTACATATCAACTGATTGTAAGTAATCCGCGTAGAACTTAGACTGAAAAACAAATGCAAAAGTTTTTTGAGGAGTCTGGGGTAAGGATACCCTATCTGTGTGGGAGAGCCAAGTTTCGGGACAAATGCTCGACCAAATTTGTGGGGGATTTGTCTGCTGTGCTATGATTAGATAATGTCGAGCAGACCCGTTTGTGCCGAAAAATTAGCATTATATTTTATACAAACTATCTATAAGTATTCTTATTGAAAGAAAACTATAGGTAGGTTCGCTATAAAAAGTCATGCTACCTAACCATGATGTCAAATATCAATTTTGTTTTTGTGGAATAATTTGGAATCGTACGCACGTGCGAAGTGGGATTATAGTCCTCTTCATTGTCCCGTTTTGTACTTTTATTCTATAAGAATTTTTTAGACCCTTACGCTCTATCGAGGCGGAGGTATCTATGAGGAATTCACATTTATAAGTTAGCAGAAAATGTCCGTCAACCATAGCGCCAAAAATCAGGTGCAATTAAAAAAACCGAAGAACAATTTTTTTGTCTCAGGAGTTTATGCAATTGGCTATTTGACTAATGAGACAGGCAATCTTCTTTAATATTGAGCATAAATACTCACCGACTTCTGACCTAGACATGACATCAGTAGGAACTTTAATAAAACCTTAATCGGCGGACAGTTAATCTCTCACCGTCGTGTGTTCTAAGTATAGATACCAACGTATATTATTTCCGGTCATGCTTCCTAAATCGAATGCCTGGTCAGACACATAATGAAACTTCGATTATCAGTAAATTGCTAAGTTATTTGTGGGAATAGGACTGTTTTACCTATGATTTAGGTATTCGTGTAAGGTGACGGCAAAGGAGATTATTGGATTGGGTTGACCTTACCTCTAAAAATAGTAAACTTTGACGTCATTTCTATAGAGAAGCTGTCGAATACCTATTTGGATTTGCCATCGAGATTTGTTGACTACTAATGGAGTAAATAGGCAAATACTTTAGTTATTGTTTCATAAGGTGACTGCCTCGTAGGCCAAGTGCCAGAAAATGGTACCGTAGAGAAAATGTACCTACTATTACAGTTCGAATCATATGTCTCAAATTGTGTCAGAAGCTGCTTTTACCGTCTAAAAGTACTGTATAAGATGCGAGCATACTTATGTGAGGAGTTGCGTGTGCAGTTGGCTGAGTCTCTGGTGCTATCGAAATTAAATTACGCTGACACGGTTATTGGCCCTAGACTCCTATCGCGAACTAAACGAGTGATACAGAGAGTTCAGAATGCTTGTGCGCGTTTTTGCTTCAAAATACCACCAAGAGGTCACATTACACCTTATTTAAATAAACACAATCTGTTAAAAATGAAGTCACGTCGTAAGCTTCATCTAGCCTGTCTCCTCTTTGGTGTCATAAGAAGTAAATGCCCGTCATGCCTCTACTCGAAGCTCTCGTGGGTGAATGCACATCGCCAGCGAGAGGGTAGGCGTTGTGCGCAGCAGCTGGCTATACCACAGCATAAAACCGCTGCGTTTAGAGGTAGTTTCAGGTATGCGGCGTCAAAGTGCTGGAACAATATCCCCACGCCTATTAGAAATTTGCAAAGTATAGGTACTTTCAGAAGAAAGCTCAAAGAGTTTGTACTAACTTCTCAAATCAATAGCGCCGAAATAAATATTGACCTGTCTTTTAATTTAATGTTTACTTTTGTATTATTTATTAACACTATCATTAATTTACAATTAAATATCTCCAATCACATATTACTAAAAAATATTTTTTCTATACCTACTCCTCACTATTATATCACATAATTATATTTATTTAATAAATAAAAGACTCACCGTCACCGTTCGAGTTTTGTTGCGAGAGTTGATCGCCGATTATCATAGCATTTGTTCAGTTTCACGTCACGCAAAATTATGGTTTTTCCCTTAATATAACTCAATACCATCGTAGTGATGGTGCAAATGAGCGTTAAACTGTGCAGCAGTATTTAATTAACCAATGCGACACCCTGCTCACCCGCAACTTCCGAGATTATTGTTGCGATTTTATGGTGTATTATTTTGCAAGTACCAACATTAAATTATGACATATACTTACCTATATTAAAAAATATACTATTGAACATGAAATAACTAAATCTTAAAAGATAATTTATATTTAACATATCACTATTTAATTATATTTTAGTATTATAATATTTTTATCTATCTCTTTTCTTTTATTTTTCCCTGGACTGATCACTAGAACCCGCAAGTCTTAAAACTAAGATATTTTAACTCTAATTACTAGTAACTAGTAGATAGTATGTGTTGCATTCGTCCGTGCGTCACTGCAGGGGTGCCAACTGAAAATCAGTGTTGGGTGCTTTGTGCCCAGCTTTTGCTGAGTTGGCGACCCATTCGGATTGGGCATGTCCGCCAACCCAAGTTTGTATTATTGTACTTTGTTAGGCTGTTTTTACGTAATTGTTTTGATTAATTTTATTTTTATTTTATTTTATTGTCCTGTTATTTCAAACTTTTATTGTGTTGTTTTTTTTTATTGTTGTATTTTTTTTTTATTGTTCTTGGCCTTCATGTCTGGGTCCGAATAAAAACAGTTTTCTTTCTTTCTTCTTCTTTCTACAGTTTATCGAAAATTTCTCAGTAGGCACTAGACAGGTGTGTAGCAATTGCTCTTCCCTCCATTACAGGGGATTAATAACTTAACTGTTGAGAAGTGCACCCACTTCTGGTGTATTATACAATGTATTATTACTTCTCCATCCCTACTCCCTTCGGCACCAAAGGCAATAATCGCGAAAAACTATTGTAAGTAGTCTAACTACCTAGATAAATTATACTTAAGATAATATCCATCATAAGTACCTAGTTACTATTATTTTATTTTTTAACTAAGTAGTACCTATGCCTAAAAATTTTAGGTACTTAGGTCGCCTACTGCTTTAGATAAAAGCCGTTTAATAAAAAATGTACTTACGTTAATTTTGTAAGAATCTACACTTAGGTGCTACTATTTAATGAGGTATCGTTAATTTAACTATATTTACACTAGGTAAATGGCTATCTTTATTATTAAAAATCGTTCTTTATTATTTACAAACTAGTTTAGTACTTAAGTAGGTTACCAAAATAACTTTTATTATTCTGTTCCATAGGCATTGGTCCTGGTACCGCTCTTGTGTCATCTATGGATGGGTTCCAAATAACGAGGCCTTAGTCGCGGCTATGATGCGGAGCGAGAGGAACTGAGAGGCCGTTTTCTCCTTCTGCGAGGCATTGATGATCGCAAAGAAGGAGACAGAACGCGTGAGGGACCTATTCGCTCCACACCCAAGTCGCTACAGTAGGTGACTAACTTGCCGTCCGAGAACCAGACCCGAATGTACGGCGCGTAGTGTTCAGCACGCGCCTCAAGGAACAAATATAGGTACCACTATAGATGGCACATCAGCCTCGCTTGCAAGAGGCCAGCAACACACTTTAGCACTACGAGTGACCATGGGCGGTGTTGATTGCTTACGCTCAGTAGGATGGAGCTAGAAAAGGTGTACAGCTCCATCCCTCCTTCTCGCCCTAAAGACTCACGCTTCAACACGTCATGGTAGACCCTCAGGTAATCTGTCTGCTTGTATGGAAGGACAAAAGGACCACGTCCAGGGATCAGGAAAAAAAAAAACAAAGAGGTTGGTAATCAAACTTCAAAATAACTACTTCTTTATTCTCATTTTCTTCCTACTACTATTGTAACATTTTTATATAAATAAGTACTTATACTGAATAGTAATTTGTTGTGGTTAAGGGTTACAATAAATAAGTTTTTAAACAGTATGGCTTCAAAGAACCTGTCTAATAATTTACATCTTTGGATTTTCGCACTTTTACAGAGTAATAGACAAAGTTAATAAACTCTGGTGAAAATGGGCCCATTTGAAAAATTCGTACCCATGCCACAATAAAAAAAAATTTGTTTAGAATTAATGTTTCTTGGTAGGTACATATGACTACTTTATTACTTAAAAAAGTTTTGGTTCATTAAATCTGTTAAAATGTATTATACTTATATGGAGTTTTAAGAAGTTGAAGAAAATGCATATAACACAATATTGTGAAATAACAAGATGAAGATAAATTTGTTGAAAATAACGAATTAACTGAGCAATACTCTACTATTTTCAAGATACAACGGGACTCTTACTCATGAGCAGCGTGCGCGTCGCGGCGACGTCGCGCAACCAACTGACTGCGCGTTGTTTGCGCGACGTCACCATGCCATTTTCAATAAAAGTTTGTCTCACGACAGTTACTATAAAACAGATGTAGTCAAGTTACTTCGCTTTGTTCTCGTTCTTATTTCATTGCAGTTTTTTAAAGTGAAGAAGGGAACTTGAAGCCAATGATTCGCGGGATCATAATACAATATATTTATATATACATATAATAATCTTTGTACATTAAATATTAATTTCGCTACCTCTTGTATCTAGCTATATAAGAAAAAACATTCACCTAAAACAAAACTAATAAACTAGTATCATAACGCTTCTAACTATAGCCTCACCAGAAAAATAAAAACACAGTTGGGGGCGCTGCAATCGTTTTCAAGTCTCGGGAGATCCGCAAATTGATGCGTTTTTTTTTACATTTCTGGTTGGGTTTTCCACAAACACTAGAGGAAGTTTAGTCGTCGTATGCGGGGTGTGCATGTAGGACCCATCGAAACAGTAATAAACTCAGGCACGCTAGCACGAAAAATGACACCAGCACACGAAGGTTCTTCTCAGATCTCTGATCTCTTTCACTGGCCAGCAACCGCTCCACTAGACCGTTCTGAAAATAAAAACAAAATATATTAGTATTAATTATTTTTAATTATTAATTAGTATTAATTATAATTATATTAGTATAATTATATATTAGTAGGTTACCGGAGGCCCAATCCTTCCCCTCCCCTAATCCCTCCTCAATCCCTAAATCTCCAAATCCCAAATCCCTAAAAGTTCGTAACTCCTCCGTTGCGAGTGTCCATGGGTGGCGCTGATTGCTTACCATCAGGTAATCCGTCAGCTCGTTTGCCGACCTATTACATAAAAAAATTGTTTCTTGTTTGTGAAATAAAATTATTATTAAGGTACGTAACTCAGCTATTTTCAGAAAGTTCAAAAATAGCTTAAGTAGGTACACAAGAAAGTAAAATATATTGTTTTTAAATCGGCTGGTTCAAGGGCTGAATTGTTGTAATTCCTCCAGGGGTCTACGAAATACCAAAAATACTTTTTTAATATGTAGCTCGGGATACGGAAATTCGAAAATATCTACGTAGAAATGGCGCCAATAAAGAAATTGTTGAAATAAAATTTGATGGTAACAAAATTTATTAATTCATCATTTTGTTGAGAGATTTTTATTGTAATTAAAGCAGTATGATGTGTACATACAACATACAATTAACAGTTCAATTTCAGTACGTAACTGCATGAAGTTGTCGAACTAATTTGTAGGAAAGAAGAGAGAAAACATTGTTTAAAATAATTAGTAGCTTAATGAAATAACAAAGAACTTTATTTACCGCATTTAAAATAAGCTTTTTGTTAATAGTTATTTCTGAACTCCTTAGTTGGAACATTTGGATTACGTTGTAGCTAAATCTAGAAATGATGTAGTAATAAACGCATAGGTACCCATCCACCGTGTGACGCGATCCAGGAACCAGGTTCCTCATGAAGAAGGTCAGCAATAGCGGCTGCAGGAGCTGACACCAGCTCAAGAGCTGGTTCTCCATCTGCAGCTTCAGCAGCTTCCCTCGCGAGCGCCCCACAGACGCAATAAACTGCTGCTATCTGAAACGATATGAAATCCATTTAGGAACATGCAATTTAGTTCCGACCCAATTTATTTGTGCTTGCGTAGCCATCGGTAGTGACTTGTTTTTTGCTACGTGTAAGCTTTGTTTTCTATTGTCCCTTTCTTTTCAATTTTGCTTCTAACATTGGTTGTTGTTGATTTGAGTTTATAGGTAAGCTTACATAGAGAACGGATCACGTCGATCCTATGTAAGTAAATTGGTTGATTGCTTCAGTATCTATACTAATGAAAGCCTTTAGTGACTTCTAACAGAGTTGAATAAATATTTCTTTTTTAATTTTAACTAGCGATCCGGCCCGGCTTTGCACGGATCAAATCTGATACTAAATTTCTCGACTATTAATAAATCTTCCTCTTTAATCACTCTATCTATGTAAAATCTGCATCAAATAGCGTAGTTTTAAAGATTTCAATATACATGGGATATTGGGAGAGAGAAAGCGACTTTGTGTGAAGTAATCGACGATAAATAACAATACATACTTATGTTAAGAAATCTATAGGAATATTTTTCGTAAATGGAATATATTTTAATAAGAAAGTTTATTTTTCTATTTGTAGCTCTGCAATATTAGTATGGACGGAAAGAAATGGAGTCTATTCCTAGGCGAGGCCGTACGAGTTATGTGCACCTTACGGCTCTCTGGTATACATCTCATTTTATGTCAGTGTTTGTTGGCAACATTGCAATAATAGCCAGGCAATATACACCACGAGTAATTATTACTTGACTGGAATGCTCGGTTTAATTTCGTATTTCCGTCTACTGTCAATTTATAGCGTACAGATGTAGCTAAATCTCTTTTAATCGTTCACGTTTTTGTAACGTTTCTGTGTGCCCGATTTCGATTTTCTTTCAAACATTTGGAGAAGAATCAAGTATTAAAAAGTTGAACTTTCTTATTCTTAGTCTGGGAATTTCACAAAATTTGTATTTATGGTATTTAGATAAGCAGTTAATAAAAATAAAAATAAGCAAGAGAAACCCTTTCAATAGGTGCCTAATAACAAAATAAATAGTAAGAAAACCGACAAAATGTATTACGAAACGATAAAATAGCATTTTCAGTTCAGTAAATAAACTACACACTTTTTCTCGTCACTGAATCATCTCATACGTCATTTAATTTTTCTTTGAATAACTTTTAACCCGGAAACTAAGAACTAAAATGGTTAATGGAACAAGACAGTCAAAGAGGCACAAATACAAACCTAAGTAAGTACACACTCGAATTTAAAGTCCACTTCAGACACTTAATACCGGCAGCCAAGATCAGTTTGAGGATGGTTATATTGGTTTTAGCGTCAAATTGCTTTAACTCTAGAATCTAGACTAGAAGGTAAACTGCTGAGGTTCTTGCAAACTAATTTGGAGGAAGCTTTTACCTGCCGCTGTCGCTGGTATTGGTTGACCTGATTAAACTATCCTCATTGGACGAGACAGTTTTCGTGGAACTATACAAGTTTCTATTCACGCGAAGTTCTAAAATCGCCGTAGGTACCAATATCTGTCTCCTTAAACTTTATTAATATAATATACAAAGGGAATGACGCAGGATACACTGACCTTAAAGGACAAAAGCATTAAATTACCGATCGTTACATTTTCAAAGTTATGGCTAAGCCTTGTGGTAATTGTATTAAGAGTTCATATAATTTATTATACACTGTGTATTAAGTTGAAATCATCGATTTGATATATAAACGCGTTAGTATCAGTAAACTTCGCATCTTACTTGAACATCAGCCTTTTTTCTTTTTATTTTATAACATATTTATTGAGGAAGACAATTTACGACTCCACACGAGAAATATTACAAATTCCTACAACGACGCTACGGACGAGGCTGAGTGGAAACTTATTGCATTGCCTTACCTTAGACCATGTAATATTTTCCCTAGTGATGCGTCTTGCTAGTGCAAGGGCGAGTTCCGCGAGTGCTGTATCCGAGCGCAGCATGGCGGAGGGGGCGCGAGTGGCCTGTCTCGCCACTTGCCGGAATGCATCAGGTCGCTTCCTCTCCAGCGCAGCGCACAACGCACGGAGCCCCACCAATACACCAGACTCCGAGTTACTCACAGCTTCCTCTCCGCATTCAGTCTCCAGCATTCGTTGTAATCGTTTAATTACTATTTGCTGCAAAAAAGTCAAAGTCATCATGAAGAATTGGTATTTAAATATTTACCTACATAAGTAATCGTTGGATGTCATTAAGATTACCTTTTTTGCGCATAAAGTGGATCTTCTAATCTGAGTTTTAATGTATTGTATGCATAAAGCGCGTCCTTGCCGGACTATTTGTGGTTTGACTTGTGTGGGGCTGGCCAGGCACCAGCCGATAGTTGCCGAGAGCCGCCGGGACACTGCTGCGGCGGCGCTACTTGAGACCATAGTGCTGAAACGTCGCTTCGTGCGATCCAACGGCGACAAAGATCGCGACGGAGAAGCGCGTAGATCTGCAGAAATGACAAATTTATTTGTCTTATAATAATCATTAATTTACTTAAAATAGCTACATCATTGTTGTTATCTTAGAACTTGCTGGATCACCGAACATTTTAATTAAATTTGCGATTACTTTCGACGCAAATTAGTTAGGCCACAGATAGTGTAAGCTACAGAGTATGTAAACCTCAACTTGCTAGGCGGTTACTAATTAAACAATCTAGTGTGTATTTTTCCAAGAATTTGAAAAGGGTTAACATTGTTTTAATGATCTTAATCTTTATAAACTTTATCTAAGTTCATTACTTAGGTTTGAAAAGTTAACCGCTATTGTTGATGTTAGATGCCCGTGGTTATTTAAGATCTTAGTTACTGCCATATCTACAACACCTCTCTCGAATTGTTCTCGAATTTGTGCTTTAATAGAATATAGGTAAAAACTCTTGTGTTTTTTGCAGATCTCATCAATTAACTGTTTGTGCAGATCTATTTATATGTTAGAATATAATGTTGTTATTAAATTTGGAAGCAGGATTTATCTCATGTAAGGGTATAATCTGTCTACAAAGCTTTGGGCTCTTTTTATCTGTGTTAAAATAAAGAGATTCAATAACGAGGTATGATATCGTAATTACCTATTCGTACTTCTGGGAATACCAACTTCATTATTGTCTTATTAATTAATTAGGGTTTTGTAATTTGGCTTTCTGGCTTTCATATGAAATATGAAAACAAAGGGATGATTTTACAATTCATATCAAGACCTTAATAAGACCCACAATATTTATTTTAAAGATTCGTAAATATGATATTACCTACTTACTTAGCTATATCTATAACAAACGAAAAATTGTTTGTGTTCACAGTAAATTTACACGGATCACAGCGTAGACCTAAATGTTATCGGACGCTTAAGAAGTTTGAGGACTCATTGTAAATCCTTGGATCTGATAACAAATCACTATCTTATTGAAATTAACGCCTTACACGTCAATTAACAGACGGCTACGTGACGTTCGCCGCGACGACGCCCGCGCTGCTCACGATTAAGAATCCCGTTATGACACGAAACTAGTAGAGCTTTTTCATTTAAGTAATGCACGTAATTTTTAATACATCTTGTATGTCTAACTATAGTTTCTATATACAAATATCACAAAAATGAACAATACAATATTTTTGTGATACTTTGCTATCTTTTCAAGCATGTAAATGTTGTTATAGTTTGGTGTAAAACAAGAATGAATTAAGAATACCTCCTTAGGGAATAACAGGTGTTATATCGCTTATAATAAGATTTCAATTCCTAAATCATCTTACTTGGTAAGTTAATCAGTCCATCAGTTACTCCGGGCATCGCACTGAGCGGCGTGCTCAGTTTCCGGCGCATGCGCAGCGTCGGTACGAACTCGTCATCTTCTTCGCCATCTGGTGGAGTGACTTGTATGGCGATGTTGCTCGCCTCTGGTATTCTTAGCCCTCGTGGCACCCATCTTGGATCTGTTAGTGGCCCTATCTGAAATGGTAAAATTGACTATAAATATACATATTATGTACTCCATTTGAGTTTTTTATACTCATATATAAATCTATGTTTATTTAACGCTATTATCTACGTATCGTATAATGGTTAAAAGTTTTTTATTGAGAAAGTCTAAATTTGAAATATAATAAAACTTGAAGTTTACATTTTTACTTTTTAATATGTCGCTACATACAATCGAGTATTTATTATGTAGTCTCTCTTTCTATCTCTATCTTTTAAGAAAAAAAAACCTAGCACTTTTTTACTGGAAACAAACGAGTTTATTGTTAGTAAGGTAATATATTTATAGAAGTTTATAGCGAGTCTATAAAAGATTAATTCCGTATTGTAAGATTAATGAGATTAACAGTCTGATAAAGAACAGACGATAGTTAAAAATAAATCATACTTAACGAGATTTTAATCAACTTTTTATAGAAGCAGTAAATAAATTTATATGGAATCGATGTTGTTGAAAGGGGATCACAATTCAAAGCTAAGGAAATGCGCTGTCAAAGTGAAAGAAATCCCCCAAGGTTGTACACAGCCTGAGTACAATATTATAAGTACGGTATCAAGTAAATACAGTCCCAACAATCTTTGATTGGTTAGTACTTCTAGCTACAATCGCCTGTCTATTCCCACGAGACCTTACATTTTACATATTTATATTTATAGTATTCGCTATTTTATCACGCATTTTCCAATCAATTTCGTCCAACAATTATTTTTAATTTCACAAAATCACTAGATAGTTAATTGAAATTTCGTCGTGTTTTTGTCTGCCCAAAGTACTCTAGACAGCACGAAATAAATGTAAAAAAACATAATATGTAAATGTTGCTAAGGTCGACGGTTGACCGAAATAATTAACGGTTTTTCGGCTACAAATTGAAATAAGTATTTTATTTGATACGTGACTGAAAATGTATCATTTGTTAGATGTTGCTAATGAACGTATAATTGCTTCGTGAGCGATTCTATAAAACTCCATAACTCTGTGTTTGTTATGCATAAATAACTCAAAATGGCGCCAGATGAACTTTACGTGCCTTTGAAATGACTCGTAAAAATACATTCGTAATATCTACCTATGTGTTTATAATCCAAGATTTAGCAAGATTTCTCTCTTGAGTTTCTCAAATTTATACAGAACTAGCTACTCTCGCGCGGTTTCAGCCGCTGCTCGGCTCCATTTGATCTTAGCGTTTTATGTTTTATGGCTTATATCACTCGGGAACATTGTGGCTATCTATCAGTAAAATAATTTTGGCAATCCGACCAGCGGTTCCAAAGATTATCCCCTACATACAAACTTACCTCATTATAATATTAGTATAAATATACCTATGTAGATAGTGGTTCTCTCCACAACTGCATGTCACATGTCTGACTTCTCTGTGTATAAATTTGAGAAAATTTCGATGTATGCAGGTTGGAGGAAAAATCTTTTCTGTATATGTCTTGAGACTAAAAATTTTTCAATTCACAGTCTCTGTGGCAACGTTATATTAATACAATGCATGATTTCGTTTTTTATGTGATATTATGGCAAACGAACTGACGGATTACCTAGTGGCAGTGGGTAAGCAATCGGTGAAGCCCTTGGACACCAGCAACACCAAAAGAGTTAAGAGTGCATTGCCGACCTTTTAGGGAAATGGGTTTCGGATATTTGAGCATTGGGAAGGGATGGGGGAGGGGAGGGTTTCAGTCTCCGGTAACCACACTTACACGGCGGAAGACAATATTGTGGTTGTTTCACGGTTTTCTGTGAGGCCGTGGTATCACGCCGGTCTTGCCGACCCATTCATGCCGAAGCTTGGCACTTCTACAATTTCGGAAATCCCAATTGTGATTATTTAATAATAAAATAAGCTGTAGTGGACATGAAAAATACCTAAAGAGAGGTGATTATTTAGAAATCCATTATATAATAAATCGTTAAATTTTTAGTATACCGATAAGCTCCAATTGCAGCTTATTATGTCTTCAATTTCAAACATCTTAACATCACAGATTTTGGGTAAATAACTATCAATTAGCATTTCAAAAACTAGGTTTAGGATTATGGAATTACACGGTTAGCATACCTAAACGACAAGTTTTTCCTTGTTACTTTAATATTACAATGTAAATAAAGCCTAAATTGATTTCAAACAGGTAAAGGAATATTTTTAGCCTGCTTTTCATTGAATGCCAAGAAAACATAATTTTCTTTAAAATCTTTTCATCCTTTGAGAAGCGCGCTCCGGGTAATTGCTTTTTGCTGACCTAAGTGCGTAACGGTATTGTTAATCCTGGTTTAAACTGAGCTTACGTAGTTTGTTCAATCGTTTACAGTTACTAGGTGGTTTTTTATTTGAGTGGTACGTGATACAAAGGGCTATGCATCAAGTTTTTTCTGTAATCGCTATCGATTTTGGATTATACTTAAAGTTAGGCTTCGTTATTTAGTTTTTTCTTATTTAGTATTTAGTTGCCAGTAACTTTTCGTTCGTAGCCTACGAAATACTTAGGCGTTCTATATAGGTACTTATATAACAATTTATTTATTAATCTTGATAAATTAATAGCCATCGCTTTGAATGTAATGAGTGGACATATTATCTTCTTTTATTATAGTAATAATATTTTCAGGTCGTAATTTATAAGAAAATGCAATTAATAACTTTTGGAATACTCCAGTAAAGTGACATTTAAGTATTTTATTTTTTACATCTTTCCAATATCTGAAGTCAATATAGTCTATATTGATAAACACAATCATGTTAACCAGATTTTTATTCAAATATCAATTCACTAGTACACGTAGAAGACATTTTTGTTTATAATGAATTATTTCATTATTTATTTATTATTTTAAACAAAAGGAGACAGAATTTTCCAATTTTAGATAGCTATCAAATACTGCTAAGGTTTTTAGTTTAAGACTTGTACTATTGAATCTATTTCAATATCGAAACTATAAACATATACTTAATAAATTCATATATACGATGGGCTGTCGTAGTTTAGGAACATGCATGTAAGTGTTTGAAACTATTTCATATGAACAGATCCCTAGACAACCTGGGTAAGTTATATTTTATTGTAAATATTATCTAAACGTGCAACATGTAGTTATTAAGATAGTTTTGGGGTTCACCGCTGTTAGCTCTTTAACAATATTCTTAATTTATTCATAGTTTAAATTTACACAAGGTTGTTATCGCAGTTATTAACGAGAATAAATTTTAATTTTGTTTGTTTCATTAATAACTTAGAATAATCTTTTTAAATTTTAATTCTATGTTTCATTATACAGGTATAATAAAGTGCAGATTTCACTATTAAAATGTTTCAAAATGTACATACTATGTTGGTACAGGACTTCACATTAGTATTTGAACAGAATCTTTTAGAATTCAATTTCTTGTTTACGTCAAACTTGGTTCATTTCGAATAGAGATTTGTCTTCTTAAGCAGTGCAACATTCGCGTGACGTCAAAAGAATAATTTCGTTCAGTCCACTGTTATTCAGTGCGCACATTTAGTTAATAGCTGCGATGAAATGCAAATAAGCGTAACATAAAACCCAGTTGAAGCGTTACGAGTTTGTACGGCATATTCTGGTTCCGTATATTTTCGCTTTTGTCTAGTAAGGGGCACTCACAAGAACAAACAAGTACTCAACCATTCAATGCTTCAATAGAAGGGACAATGCGGGTGAGTCGAGAACATTTGCCATGATTTTTTTTCTTTTCTTTTGTACTACAAAAACATCCGTGGCCTCTAACATTAAATACCAATTTATCAAGGAGGTTAGCGACCTTAAGTTTAATTTATAAGTTGTAATAACCCAAAATACGGCTGCTTACTGGCCGTTTGTTGTTGTTGTGTACAATTAAGAATAGTAAACTCCGAAGCGTCTGACTAATTAGAATGAAATGAGAGCCTTACATCTGAGGCGAGTCACGCTTTGAATAAAATTGGCAAATATAACTTGAAATAACAGAATATTACAAAGCTTAGTAGGTTGTTCCTTTAATAGTTAGGCGACACCATTGCTCTTTACGTCCTATTAAGATGAGCATTAAGCAAGCCGTTTTTCTGAATTTGAACAGAACGAGCATGATAATTGGTAACAATGTCGTGGAATTTAGCGTTGTCAGGTAGTAAATTGTTGTAGAGTTTCTGTTAAATTACATTCTATTACGGTCGTCAACTTGTAATATATAAATTATAACGCCAGATGACTCACGTAGACTTTTGGAATGTTCAACATTTTATGATATTATAAGTAGATGTTTGAACATATTTCCAAGCTCGAAAGTTAATTTTATAGCATTTTGAGGGCTGAAACTTTTGCCGTAATCTAAATTCAGCCCATATATTAAAAATTAAGCTATTCTATATATGTGTCATAATTCTCTGTTTTCATTAAATTAAGATCGTTAATCTGCGTAATTTTATTGGATCAGCCAAAACTTTACGATACCACTCAATTGATGTGCGCAATGCAAACGAAATGAGGTTTCATATCGATTTCCATGTCCATTATGTACGCGATTCGTCACTCATTTAGCTTATCGCTTTCCTGATAAAATTACTATGTACAGAATTTCATAAACTGCTTAAAAAGACTGTAGATGGGTTATTTATTCACGGTAGATAGTGGTTATAAAAATTGTTATAAAAATATTGTGAAATATTTTGTAATATGTCCTAAATGAATCATAAATAATTTATAATTTATATCCTTTGTTGAGATTATGAGGAACTGAACAACCATAGTTGATGCGTCAAATAAATAATGTCAGATGAATCAGCCCTAAAAATCGATTAACAATGCTAGCTAGGAAATGATGGTGCAAGTACACTGGCTGGTGACCCTGACAGCTGCACCGTCGGCCATGTTAATTCAACAGCTCAATGTTACGCAGATATGGCAGATGGCAACGGAATACCAAATCAGACCAGTGAAGGAAACAAACAAACGCAAGTGAAAG